TTGCCTTGTTATCTCACAGTTGTGGGGCATTTTACAGAGGTGCTCTTTTGTATTTCATCTTCCTTCTCAGGTTGCCTTTCTCCTCTCCACTAAATATTGACAGGACTTTTCAGAACAGACGTGAATTATATCTGTTTGTTGAATATAATTTTTGATGTTTCTCATTGGAGCTTTGCTTGGGACACCACACAATCTGCTGAAATTTTGGAACTCCAGGAGAAAAACAGAACATTTCCAACAGCAAAGGTCTCTTGAAGTTGTTGAAAGAAGACTAGAACAGTGGCTCTTCTTGCACTTTCTTTTCTTAAGGTATTTTTCTTCCCATCTGATTTCCAAAGAGCAGTCAGATTTTCATTTCATGTTGTCCCACCCCTGTGGCATTTTTGACATTGGACAGAAAAGAGAAGCCTTGAGTTGAAAAGGTGTCATCAAAACAATGACTAGATATACTTGGAAGAAAGGTTTATTATTTGGCTTGCTGTGCCGAGAGCTGCTAATTGTCAAGCAATTATGACCAGACATAATTTTTTTCAGTGTTTAAAGCTGCCTCTTGGGTTTAATATCTGACTGAAAACAAAAGGTGGAAAAATTTGAAGAGTTTGGAAAAGGCCAAGAGATGTATAAATATTTCCTCAGGGCATCTTTTGCTACCTTGAATTTAAGGCCAAAAGTTTGGCTACCACTGCCTCCTTAGAAAGCATTCTTGGCTCCAATGGTCTGATACATCTTTTCTCTCCTTGCTTCTCAAATAATCAAATCATAAAAGTAGTTTGGGAAATCCATTTTGCATCTGTATCCCCTGTGATCTTTGAATGCTTCAGGAGTCAAAACTCCACATGGATTTGTCACAGCTGAGGGCTGTGTGTTTGACTCAAAAAACCCTTTGCACACAAATTAGAGGGCAACCAGTGCAAAACAATGTGGTTATAATGCATTAACTAAGCAGGAAGCATGGCGATCAGCCTATGCTGTGTCAGGAAACAATTTGTCTGTGGAAATGGCATGGCACGGTGCTGGGGAAGACAATGCTGCAAGCAATGTTCAGTAGGCTGGCTGCTCAAGAAGGTCCTACAGGGGCACTGTCAGTAAATCAATAGGCTTGATTTATCACTGTATTATATTAATTCTACTCCAGGGTGACTTCATTCAAGTCAGTGAATTTGTCCTAGGGTAAAACTGGAGAAAAACAGTGCCTCATCTCTCTTGCTTTTTGCATGTATTACTTCCACAGAGCCACAATGATACTTTCAGTTCTGCCCTCTTCAGGACCTGGCTGTGACAAGGTGGGAGCTGGAGGCCTTTTAGGGTCGCTTGGAGGAGATGGGGTATAATCTTGGTACTGGAAGAAGTTTCTGAACCCTAGATTTGCCAGCTCATCTTTAAAAATAATTCCTGATGAAGTTACATGAATCTTACATTGTGGTTATTGGGAAACAAGGCACTTGGAAAATAGGATTTACTGTTGCGATGGAACACCAGAGGCTGTCACACCACTAAACTGAGAATAAACAGAGAAGAAAGCCTGCATGAGAATGCCATGAAAGTGGCTATAAATGAGGGAGGGAGTAAACTCTTGCCTCAAAACAAAGAGTTTGGCATTTGCCTGTAACAACATGCAGGTGCTTTGCCAGCATGAATAGGATTGAGAACTGGAAATCTACATCTCCATGTTCGTCTTTCAGCAGGCTTCCAAGCATACTCATTTTCATTCAAAATCACTACCAAGCTGTTTATGATAGATCTGTGCCAACTGCACTGTTTTATGTAGCCATCTAAGCCAAATCATTGTGACCTGATGTGACTCAGTTTTTTAAAAGGGTGCGCCTTCAGAATTCTCATTTTCTTCAGTTCAAAGTGAAACACTGGGAAAAGTATTGGAATGGATTTGAAAACAGTGCAGCATTTTTATGCAGAGGCAAAAGTGCTATTCAGGCAGATACTAGAAGAAAATATGTCTCGGGTGTGTTTTTCAAAATGGGTCTGAAATATTCACTGGAAAAATATCAGGAATCTTTGACTTAAATAAACTAGTTCATGTGCTCTGATTTAGCCTATATCTTGGTCTTGGGAACTGAAAAAAAGAGGTTCTAGGGGTTCTGTTCCTGAAATGTCAGATGTCAGTTTGTTTTTTGTTATCTGTATATACCTTTTTTTTTTTTTTACTCTCCACCTTTCTCTTTCTTCTTCATATTTCTCTGAATATGAATCTTATATCTTTATGTGAATTTAAAGCCTATTAAAGCTATGCAGAATCATTAAGTGGAAAACACTCCTTTTTTTTTTTAAGTTGAATATACCATTTTAGAATATCCCTTATTTATGTATTTAGTGGTTTAGATATGTTCTCATGCATAGGTAATGGGTGAATATGCATTTCATTCTTTCTTCCTCAAATACTGCTAAACAGATCAACATGAAATTTTAATCAGGTTCTTCAAATTGAAGTCAGATGATTTCAGGCTCATAAATCCTTTTGACCAGTGTAAGATGTTTAGATACTTAGTTGAAGTTTGTTGCTGTCTTTCTCTTCAGCACCTCTACCTACATTTAGCTTCTGTGATTGAGCTGAATATTTTGGCATTGTCTGAACCTGTAATCAACTTGTAACCAGGAGCTGGTCTTATGTGCAACAAAACTTAACCAGTGGTACTGTGTTGATTGTTTTTCAAAGATTTGTACTACAACAGATACCAATAAAAATGGATGTATTTATTTTCCCCCCATGCCAGTATAGGATTATTTTTTTAATATAGTTGTTGATAAGATACTTCCTCCCGATGAAATTAGAGTCAGTGGCATAATTGATGAAATAAGGAGGAGAAGATTACCCAAAATAACCTTTTAGCATGAGTCTTTATTTGAATGGGAAAAGATTTTTTTGAATGTACTTGTTCCAGATAGTATCTACATTTCTTAGAAATGTGCAGGGCTTTTTGTGGGAAACCCCCAAACTATTTTTGTGTGGCTTTGGCCAAAAATATTTGGTTTTCTCTTACCAAATTTCAAAAAGGTTGAATAGTTGGCTTTTCTGAAGGAAAGGCAATACTTTCCATACAGAAAAGTTCCCATTTTCTTTCTAGCTCTGCTTTTTCACATTTCTGACAAGGAAAAGAGTAGAAATGCACCTGGAAGTATAATTATTGTATTACAAAGTTTGAAAGTAAAAATAAGACTTACAATTTTAAAGTTTTTGCTTGTTGTAGCACCAATCAGTGCCAATGTATTAGGCTCACACTTTGTCTTAAATGCAAGCATATATTAGTATTTCTGCCACTGCATCATAGCAAATGCCTTTATGGCTTATTTCTGAATGATACCTGTTACTGAAGCATAGAAGCTGTGGTTGCCTAAAAAGATCTGTACTGTTGCCAAAAGGGAGCAGTTGCCCTTATGATAATGTTTCCTACAGCATTCTCCTGGAGAACCTGTCTGCTCCTGGCTTGGATGGATGTATTCTTCATTGGGTAAAAAGCCTGGATGGATAGCTGGGCCCAAAGGGCCATTGTGAATGGAGTTAAATCCAACTGGCAGCTTGTTCCAAGCGGTATTCCCCAGGACTCAGTAATGGAAACAAGTTTGTTTAATATTTTTTAATCAATGATCTTAATGAGGGAATCATGTGCACCCTCAGTTAGGTTGAAATGACATGGAGTTGGGTGGGAGTGTTGATCTCTTCAAGGGTAGGGTCGCTATGCAGAGTGATCTGGATAGCCTAGGTAGGCTGCATCCCGTTGTATGGCATTCAACAAGGTTAAATAGCTACACTGGAGCCTTAACAACCCCATTCAGTGATATAGGTTGGAGGAAGGATGTCAGGAAAGTTGCCTAGCAGAAAAGGACCTGGGAGTGTTGGTTGACAGCTGTTTGAACATTAGCCAGCAGTGTGTTCAGGTGGCCAAGAAGGCCAATGGCATCCTGGTTTTCATCAGAAATAGTGTGGCCAGCAGGACTAAGGAAGTGATTGTCCCTGTGTACTCAGATCTGGTGAGGCTGCACCTTGTGTCCTATGTTCACTTTCGGGTCCCTCAGTATAAAAAAAGATAATGAATTGTTGGAACACATTCAGAGAAGAGCAGCAAAGCTGGTGAAATGACTAGAAAACAAGACATGAGGATTGGCTGAGAGAAATGGTATTGTTTAGTCTGGAGAAAAGGAGGCTGAGGGAAACCTCAATGCTCTGTAGTGCTTCCTGAAGCCAGTCAGGGACCGGTCTCTTTTCTCAGGTGACAAGTACTAGGACACGTGGAAGTTGCACCAGAGGATGGTTAGATTAGATGTCAGGAAGTATTTCTTCATGGAAAGCGTGGTTGGGACAGGCTCCTGAGTAGTGGAGTGCAGTGCAGTAGTGGAGTTACCTTCCCTGGAGACATTTAAGAGCCATATGGATGAGGCTCTTAGGGACATGGTTTAGTGGTGGACCTGGTAGTGTTAGGTGATGGCTGGACTTGATGATCTTAAGGGTAATTTCCAAATTAAACAATTCTATGATTCTACCGTAAGCAGAGACCTGTAGTGTGGTGGAAACTGGACAAGGGAACACTGGTCTGATTCCCTTCCAAGACCTCAAAACCAAGGTCCAGGTTCATTTACCCTATAGAAACTTAAGATTTTCAAGATTGAAACAAGCCTAAACAGCAGCCTATACCAACTACGGATAAGTAAGGAAGGGCCTTTACGTGTTTACATCCATATTTATTTTCAGGTGCATAAAATGCTTACATCACAATTCTCTGAAAATTTTGCTAAACAGATCAAACCACAATAAGCAGCTGTCAGAAAATGACAAGCCCAGTTAAAGGAACCAGCTGTAAATCAACCTAAAAAAACACTCAGTAGATTATTTTGCTGGAAAATGCAGTTGGGATGATGGCAGAGAGGGATGTAAGAGACTTGAAAATGTTAAAATGTTTTTGTCTGAATATTTTCTTGAACAAAATGTTTTTTATTCCATTGAAAAGAATGTTTTTTTTTTTTTTTTTTTTTTTTTTTTTTTTTTACAGATGTATCTACATTTAATAACTCAGTCTTAAAGAGGATTAAAAATCATATGAAAGTAAGTATTTTGATGCATAAAATGTCCAAGTAGTAACAGTGTTTTATTTGCATTACATTTTTTTTTCATTACAGTAGGATAAACAAAAAAAAAAAATCACTTTCATTCAATTTGGAATATTTCTTTAATTTTTTTAGTCCAGTAAATAAAGTGAAAAACTAATTATTTCATCAGGCCTAACAGCAAAGTTTTCACAGGGAAAAAAAGGCTGGAACTTTCTACCAAGTACAAACAAATTCTTGTTCATTTAAATTAGAATAAACTTTAGTGAGTAAGTTCAAGTTGATACATAGAAAAAAAGAACTGAGACTGCCTTCTGACTTTCTCCTGACTGATATATATGTCTTAGGAAGCGTGACTCTCCCTTCACACATATATTCCAGTTGACATAGTATGAACCTTAGATCCTGAACCTGTCAGGATCACATCACACAAGAACAAAAGTTTTAATAATGTAATGAATTTAATATTAAATTTTATTACTGAAAGATCTGCCAGAAACTATGTCGTGCATTCCACCCCATATAAATGTCTGTCAAAAAGGCTAGAAGTAGCCACTAGAAAATGCTCACATGCATTAAACTTCATCTTCAAGGACACTATGCAGTCCTGCATAGTGCTAAATGTTTGTCAGCAATGCAATGAGGCTGAAATATTTAAGACATAGATATTTTTTTAACACATAGGAAATAAGGCATACTGTCTTTTATACAAAAGAAGGGATAAGAATGTTTTTATCTTCTGAAGCCATTAATTTTTGTCTTAGCCACTGTCAAAAGGGTTCTTAGAACAACTGCTGAAATACTTTATTTCTATCAGTAACAGGCAAATCCATATTTCTGGGTAAAGTTTTTCTAATTTCTTGGTAAAACAGTTCTAAACGCTAAGGTACCCAAATTTGCAGCATTGTAAATGTCACCTGCAGTGCAGCAGTCCATCTCATATTTGATTTTTCATATGTTTTTTTCACAGGCCAGTCATTTTACTGCAGATGAAGAGCTGCCCTTCCAAGACACCCTGGCAGCTCCACACAGATCTGGCGAGTCCAGGCAGCCATGGACTCGACCTAAAAAATCCTCTGAGAATGTCCCCTATGCAGGGAAATATCAGCAAGTTGCAGAACTTCTTTTGTGACTAATGCTCCATCTAACATGATGGCTAAGGGATGGCATGCCTCATGTGTTCAGCCAAGTAGAAATTAGACATTTTTCATGTTGTTTTATATTACATTGACACTCACCGACACCAACTTTCTTCCTTTTCTTAGTCTGTGGGCTTGTGCCTTTTTTTTTTTTTTTTTTTTTCACTGTAGCCTTATAATAGGCATAAATTACAAAACATAACAGAATAATCTCTTTCCTGTCCAATGATTGGCACGAAAAGGAACTTTTAAGTTCTGGAAGCTCTTAAGGTCTTCTTCATAAAGCAGATGAGTTTCTCAACATTCTACAGGCATTTTTGTAAAATTACCTAGGCAAGAGCAATCCTAGCCAAAACCAAGCTTTATTAAAAACAGAGAAAATGGAATCCAAAGAAACAATTTCCTGAATAGCAGTGAGCTTAACACTTCAGTAAACCAGGCTTTCTATGATGGCACATGGCAGTGGGGGTTCAGATATAAAATTTCAGGTAGTTCACAAAACAAGGACAGCTAATGCATATGTCACGCTTTTCACACACTTCATTCTCACCAGAGAATCACATTGTTATATACATTGCTATTAAAACACCACTATACCAAAATTTTTGGTGTTCATTACAAGTACTTTTTAAGTTAGACACACAAAGTGAAACACAACATCAAATTTCAGAAGAGCATATCCCTCATGATAGCCTCATACGGCAACTTCCATGTAAGTCAAATAGATTATGTTATGTTCTGTCTGGAGTGAACATACACTTTAAACTTAAGAATTCATTATTATTAACAATGACAACAACAAAAAAGTGAATTTACTTTGCCACAGAAACCAGAGCAACTGACATAAAATTTGGAAAAAAGTGAGAAGCTTTCATCAGCATGAGAGCTTCTATTTCTTTTCCAGTTCGACAATTTATCCTAGTAAAAAGGCTTTACCTCTCTATAAAAGTTTTTCCCTTACCTTTGTTCAGAGCACTCCATTTACCTAAGTACCCCAAAGACATCAAAAGTTCAAAATTATCTTCCATATATATATATATGCTTATATATATATATATATGCTTCTATATATATATACACTCATTATCCTTCCCTACTGCTAGTGCCATGCCTAGATAAAAGAGAAGGGAAGTGCAAAGATTAAATTATCCCTAACGTTGCTAACCAACCCAAAGATTCTATGGAATGGAAATGTCCAAATAAAGATCTTGAGTTCAGTATGGAATGGTAAGATCTTCAAGGCTATACCTTGTAGGGTCATTGTTGTTGTGCTAAAACAATTCTGTGTCATCTTTCTGATTTTTCCTTAACTGAATGATGTCTGCCCACAGCAGGAAAGAGTTCAGTACCCCCTCCTGGCAGATGCACCTGAAAATGGAAATATTTTGAATAAATATGTGGCATATTGAGTCTTCAATAGGAAGTTAGAGAACAAGTTGCTTCTGGCCCTAGCAATTCTTAGACTATGAGAAAGAGGAAGGAAATCTATAGAATAGTATACATTTTCATGGTAAATTATGAGAAAAATTATGCAGCTTAAAATATTGCTTTCAAGTATTCCTCAGATAATCATTGACTCCATGTGTTTAAATACACATACTTATTGAATTGTAGATCTCTTGCTGTACATGCTTTCATCAAAATGACTCAACCATAACTATTTTCACTGGAGTTAAGGCACATGCTGCAGAGTTTCCAGTACAGTCTTATTCTTTGTCATCTTTCTTATTCTTAGCTCTGAAATTAAGGCCTTATGTTTTAATAAGTGAAGAAGATACAAGATACACTACTTCCACAATCCAAGAAAGTTTTTTTTAGGTATAGTCACACTAGGCTGAGTCTTTGTTTACAGAACAGTTAAGGTTTCTACTTATTAAAAGAGATCAAATATATACTGAACTCCACTTTATCCATTGCAGAAATCAGCTTCAGAATTTTGTTATGAAGCTGTAAAACAGAGCACCAAGTGGGACTACAGATTCCAAAACTCTGTCAGAGAATCCCTTGGGCACTTCAACAGCGATTAAATCTACAGATTATTCAGGACAAAATAACTTGGCTTGCTTTTTGGCACCAGAAAAAAAAATACCACCATTTCTAAGACCTCAGTTTCAGTTTGCTCCTGATTTCCCAAACATCTCAAATTCTCACTGCTGGAATTCCTCACTGCTGAATTCCTTCCAGTTTTCTGTTGAAGAGCCTTCTTTACAGAAATATCACAAAATTATCTGATGGCAAATATGGGTATTTTCTAAACCCACAGCTTAACTATCTAATCCCTGCATTTAAGCCTTGATCTTCATTTCAGTCATAGATGAAGCTTCCAACTCTGATTAAGGGAAGTTAGGAGATTCAATCCTTTCACTTAAAATAAGGAATAGGCAGAATAGCAGCAATATTGTACTCTAACCATCAGAAAAGCAGTTTCAGGGTCTGTAAAAGTATCCCCACAATCTACTTAAAAAAAAATAGGGGGGGAAAAACACCTGAGCATCACCTCTCTCTGTCTAGGAAGTGTAATACAGACTGGCAAAAATAAGACCAGGCAGTGTCTTAAGAAATGGAGGACATTTGAAGGCAGAAATCTATATGGGCTGCACACGTGTACCTTCAACTGCACATCACAGAAAAGTAAGATTCAGGATCAGGGTGGCCATTTTAGGCTGACCTGCTAAAACATCCCACAAAGCAGACTATCCAGCAGTGCTAGTGCAAGTCATGTTTTCATAAAGAACTGCCCCATACAACCAAAAATCTGTAATTCACTGTGGCACCAAGACTGCATAATACCACTGCATTGCAATTTCAAAATAATATAAATTCATACTTCAACCAAAATATGTAGTCCTTGTTGCCTGTTCCTGCCACTCCTAAGGCTTTCTTCTTCGCACACTCCTCCAGCTAGGGCAAGTTCAATTCTACTAACTTATCCACTGTCATACCAAAATATGCCTCTTTTCAAATATTTGCTTTGATCATTTTACAGTGAGGCTGGTTTACTGACATGCCTTATGTGATGAGTACCCATGAAGTGGCTTCAACAGTTGCTCCTTCCATTTTTGGATATGGTAGAAAGATTACTCTAATTATATACTTATAATACCATCCAAAATGCAACTCTCTGTGCTATAGGACCAGCAGTCTGCAGAGTGCTGCCTTTCTTATTGATGAGTATTGGAACAGTAACTAAAATCTGGTCCAATAGCCAGAAAACTGTAACTTATGGAGTGACACACACACAAAGGCTTGTTTTGATTTCAGTATATCTCATTTGACAAGTGTTTACCTAGACAGCATGTAGTCAAAATGCACATTGTCATTTTCTGCAACCCCAAGTATGTGATGTGTCAAAATTCCTGTGAAAATAGATAAACAAAATCTGAAATTTCCAGATGGATGGCTCTATTGCAGGCAATTTACCCATGATTCTAGTTTAAAAATGCTTTAAATCACTTGTTAAAATACAAACACCTGACTCAAAATATTAGTACTTGAATCACAGTATACTTGCTGTAATCATGAAAGAAAACTCTAAGTTTCTAGTGTCTAGTCAGATCGGCTAGGTTCTTTGATTTTGGTGGATCTCGTTTGATATAGTACTTAGGTGTCCTGTTAGATGGAAAAAGTACAAAATGTTTCCTGAGAAGCCCAACACAGGCAGATAGACCAAAATGACTCAAACTGTCCACAGCAGTCTGATGTATTCAAGCTCTGGCAAAATGGAGAAAAAAGCTGTTGAGTCCATTTTCTGTGGCTTGTCTTCTGAGCACTTTTATACTTTTCTGTAGTACATTAAACATTCAGCCTGAATGCCCAAAGCTTGGTTTTTCAGGAAAAGTTATATGTGCCCTCTAGATGTCCTCTTTGTGATTTTATGTACTTAAAAGTTAAGTATGACAGCTGTAGCTCTGTATGTGGTTTGAGAGATGTGGTTTGCAGTTATATAAAGTCTCTAGAGTGGATCTTAAAAGTGTAGATACCTAGAAGTGTAAAGTGTAATCAGTTTATGCATTTTCTTCTCTTTCATACCTATCTAATATAGTACAAATGCAGAAATGCACAAGTAATGTGAAATTGTGTATTGACTCTTGATGAGTCAATTGACTCTTGATGAGTCAATACACAATTGAACATGCTTTGTAACTCCCCTCATTACCTAGAATGGTTGTGGAGGCTGGAAGGAAGCTCATAGCAAAGTGACAATTCTAAGTTTAATGATATCAGAAAAGTATACAGGCAACCCCTGAAATTCTGACACTGGCCATAACAATTCTTTAGCTTACATAATTTTGTATATTGCTGATAAAATACTGTACAAATAGTTGCTTGCATTTTAGAGGATACCTCAGTGTTTTTGTTTTTAAATCAAACTTGAGCCTGAATTTTCTCATGATTACATCAGTTTTACTGATTTTAGTCCTCATATATGGAGTATAAAGGAAGAATATTCAATGAAGGGATATAGAACTCTATTGTACTGGAGTTTTAATCACTGTCTCATCTCTTGTCCTGATACAGCGGCAGCTACAACCCCTACAGTCAGGGAGAGCTGAAATATCCCCAAGTCCGTCTGCCAAAATGAATAGCTGAAATTGAGAATAAATTCCTTTCTTACCCCATACTCCCAAACAATTTCCTGAAAAAAATAAATATGCAATTTTAATGCTGAACTCATTGTTCTATCTTGCATAGCTACAGAAAATATTAGTGGTCATAAAATGATTCATTCATTTTAAATGTCCACTGACTCAGTGACAACTAACAGCAGCAGTACATTCCATAATTCCAAAGCAGGTCTTCCATAGATAACACATAGAAGTCTTTGGTTTTTTAAACTGTAACATCTTGTCACAACAAAATCCAAAAGAAAACTTTACCTGCAGACAGAGTTGAATACAGCATTGGACTTGGCTTTGAGATAGAGGAGAAAGAAGCACATATTGTGTAGTATCCTATTACCTCTTAAACACAGCTTAAACTATTTATGTTAAACACCTGTTTTCATTTCTGTTTTCTAGATGTGACCCTTTTGTTTTATTATACGGTCATGTTTTAATCTGAGGTTAATAGGGAGGAAGGAAGGATTGAAAAGTCTTTTTCATTGTGAAAAGCCAGTGCTAATCATTAGTATTTGGTGCTACTAAATTTGGTTCATGTTTTTCCCACATTTTCCATAGCATAGGTCTTGTGAATCTTATTACAGTGCAGCCCCTCAACCCAATTTATTAAACAATGTCTTACACTGATATAAATTAGTAAAGTTTTATACAGAGTACAACAAACTAAGCACTAAGTAAATGCTAAATTTTACTTAGAATAATTGTTCTCTGTGAGTAGTTCTCTATCTGTTCATGAAAAGCTGCATCTCAGATATGTGTAATGATAATGGATGACAATGAACAAGAGATCATCCCTAATTTCTTAATCCTGTAATGAGTTAAATTTTGCTCCTCCTCTTCTTTTGTTAAGCTGTTTCAAGACTTTACTCAGTGGATTGTAAGGAAGCTTTTTTTTCTTCTTTCCTAAATTAATTCAGGTGTCTTTGCCTCCCAGAATTATCATTCCAGTTTTTACTTTGAGCTAACATAATTCACAGAACAACCATATTTTGTCTGTGCTCTTTTTTTTTTTTTTTCTCTCATACCAAAGAAGATTATCAGTTCCCTGTTAGGATGACTGGTCCTTCTTTCTACCTCTTCTGATGTGAATTCATCTTTGCACACAACTTAAGATAGAGAGGCTGCTGTTTATTGTCACCTTGCATCACCATTTTAATATGACCCTATATCTGCTGGAAATATTTTGCTTTTTCTGTGGTCTAGCATCACATTACATTTTATCATCATACTAGTGACTCATAGTAATCTTGTGATTAAGTTCTATGCCCAGCTCTTTTGCTTGATCTGTCATTTCTAGCTGACCAGAACCTCCTCCACGCCCATCCCCCCCCCCCCTTTTTTTTTTATAATGGGACTTATTAGTCACAGTACGCTTGGTGAAAAAATATGTTAGCTAGTACATTCAGGAATAAATGGGTCCTACCATACTCGGTAGCATGTTTTTTTCCAGTTTGTGTGTGAAAAAATTGTGAAAAAATTAATGTGTCTATATAATGATACAGCAAAATATTGATGAGGTCTTCATCCAGGTTTAAATTTGACCCAAGGGAATGACCAAATTCAGATCCTAATTCAAATTACTTCTTTCAATTTGATGTTGACCTTAAAATTTCAGTTTTATCCATGTTATTGAAAATTTTTACTTGCAGAAGTTCTCTTTATTAAACTGTGGCAGTACTCTTAATTTTATTTCTAGCTGTTAGAACGGTATGTATTTCAATACCAACATTCCAATGGTGACAGCCCTTCCACCATGTGTTGATACATCTCTACTACCTGATTTCAGGTCCTTCTCTATTGGTTCCACTTCCTGTGGTTTGTAACCTTGCCACCTTTCACACATTCCTGGTAGCTAAGTTGCCTTTCATTTATTTTATTTATTTATTTTTTTTTTACTGTGTGATAAATCAGGTTTGGAGAGTTGGACAAAACTCTTCTGAACTTCTTCCTTTAAATGTCTTCTGAATTCAAGTTTGAATCTTACAAATTGGTCTCAGATAGAGACCATATTAAGTGGCCATTTTCTCTGAATGCTTGCTTGTAAATTTATTTATTTTTGTTTTCTTAAGTGTATTTATCAGATCGGAATCAATTTAGCAATATAGCAAAATAGCAATTTATTTTTATTAATATTTTTAATATTTTTATAGTTTGGGGTGGGCAAGAGATCAATTTATTTGTAGAAATACTACTACCACTTACCATAAAAGGATATATATAGAAGTAAACAACTGATTCCCTCCAGTTCAAGAAACACAGGCTGTGCAGAAATTGTTCAGAGTTAAGAATCTTGATTAGGCAGCAGAAATATTCAGTGTAAATCAAGCCACATGCAAGCCACAAAGCCATTTTGACTTCCACTTCTCAGAAAGCTGTTTGTGGATATAGAGTTTATGCTGACAAATCTCCTTCCCATCACCTCAATCCAAAGAAATGTCCCTAAGAAAATGCTTTCAGAGAGATATACAATCGTCAGCTAGCAATCCTTTCATGTTGGATACCTGTCTTTTTGCCAGAATAGGCCATTTTTGATTCACGTGTGAGCAATATATATTTGTTGTGTTTCTGATTTCTTCAGACACTTCTGCTCCCTCCAGCTGATTGAACAGCTGACTTATTCTGAACAGAGCTAGACAATTCTTCTTGGTGGAGCAGATATCACTGAACAGCATGTTTGCATTTATTTATGTCTGTATTCTGACTTACATTCCATTTCACTTAAGGGGCTTGGGAAAGTATAGAGGCTCCATCAAAGGATAAACTGATCTGAAATAAAAGATTAAAGTCACATTTAGTTTCATCCCCTAAACCTAGAGAAGTCTTCAGAGACTTCTACCATCCTATCTATCTGGCATATTTGGATATCAACCCCCAAATTAGGTTATTGAAATAGGGGTTGCTGGCTTCAGTAGATGTTACTTCTCTCCCAGTGATAGCAGCGGGGTTCATCAACTCTTAGGATAATTAAGCTATAGAAGATTCTGGGGATTCTCTTTTGTACATTTTTCTTTAATGATTGGTTTGTTCATACAAAAACTTGCAACAACGTATGCAAGCATAACTAATAGCACTGAACACAGAGACTGGATTTCTTTATGTTCAAAGTTCCAGTGCAGAGCCAAGCTGAGAGCCAATATCACTAATGACATTTAGGTTTATATACATACACAGGTTTTTATTTGTATATTTTGAACTTTGTATCCCCAGAACACTGGGGAACCTGAAATTCCTCTTGTACTTCTCTCTGTGAAAAAAAAAAAAGAAAAAAAAAAAAGTGGGGACCGGACATTTTCCATTTATTATTTTTTTTTCCCACTTGCCCTTGGACATTTGCATATGGCATTTTGGCAAATACAGGTGTATAATTCATGCTGATCCTTTTGTCTGCTTGAAAAAGGTTTCTGCCTTTGGAAAATGTAGCTCTATATATTCTTGGGCACTTTTGACAACACTACATAATTTTTGTTGTTGTTTCCATAGCCCACTTTGTTGGCCAAAGTGACTCTGTGTTGACACTACGTTGGCCAAAAGAACTCCTGCAGTTTCAATTGGCAAGGTTATTTTCCAGTTCCTTCCCTAGATTACTGGGACATTTAGCTAACTTTATACAGCTTCCTTGTTCCATCCAAAAGATGGGAACATTTTGTTGAGAGCAAAGTGTGTCCTCTTTACATACTGTTTATTTTACGTTTAAGGAGTTCTTGAGTCAGGATGTCACTTTATGGTTTTAATAAGGAAGCTGTCATTTTTATTTATTTATTTTTAACTGAAAATTATTAACTGAGAAGATACAGATATTTCAATCCAAAGGTCTTTATACATATTTTGCCATAACTTACTTTACCTCATCAATTGTTCAGAATCTGCAAATGTAACACACTTGCACAAAATGTGATGGAATGAAAAGCTTGTTAGTCATTAGCACTAGTCAATAAAAGAAAACAACTAAAAAGCTTGAATATAATTTGTGTATTTTACTCTTGTGTATTTCTGTGCATACCTTAACATCTGTTATATGTTCTTCCTCTTTTACCTCCTCTTATTTCTTTTCTGTGGTACTTTTCCTGAAGTATCTTGGGAACTTGAAAACAAATAGATGATCAGGTAAAAAAGCTTTCTTATCTTGTAGTGTTTTCTGTGAAAGAGGGAGACTGGCCCCTTTCTGGTATGTTCTTTTCATTTATTTTTTAATCCTTTTTTTTTTTTCCTAGTCATTTTTCTTAAAAACGGATTCCCTCCAACTGAAACACTGAAGGCAAACTTCCATGACAAGAGAAATCACTTATCAAAGAGACAAGACCAATTACTTGTTAAAACAAAAACAGGTAAATCCTACCGGGGCGATCCATTTCCATAATGAGGAATTTTGCCAGGTTATAATTGTGTGTGTGTGTGTTTATTTTTCTAATGATACTTTACATCAGAATTTCACAGGATCAAAGAATGGCTGAGGTTGTAAGGAATCTCTGAAGATCACTTTGTCCAACCCTCTTACTGAGGAGGATCATCTAGAGCACGTTGTGCAGGATGGCATCTAGGCAAGTTTTGAATATCTCCAGAGGAGACTTCACAAACTGTCTGGGGAACCTGTCCCAGTGCTCTGTCACCCTCACAGTAAAGAAATGCCCTCTCATACTCAGCAGGAACCTCCTGTGCTTCAGTTTATGCCCTTTACCTCTTGTTCTCTTCCTAGGAACAACTGAAAAGAGACTGGCTCCATTCTCTTAACACTCTCCTCTCAGATATTTATACATATTGATGTGGTCTCCCCTCAGTCTTCTCTTTTTCTTGGCTAAACAGGCCCAATTCTCTCATCCTGTCCTTCTACAACAGGTGCTCCAGTCCTCTAATCATCTTTGTAGCCCTCCTCTGGGTTCTCTCCAGTAGTTCTATGTTCCCCTTGCACCAAGGAGCCCAGAACTGGACACAATACTCCAGGTGTGGCCTTACCAGGGCTGAGCAAAGGGTGAGGATCACCTCCCTTGACCTGCTGGCAACACTCTTCCAAATGCACCCCATTTAATTAAATGCTCAACTTTGTTGTCCTTGCCTTTTCTAGAATATCTCCTAAAATCTTTCCTTTCTTCACATTCTGGTGTCTTAATACTGTAAAAATTGCCTCAGTATGACATAAATCTCACACATAAACTGTTCCAGTTAATGCTCAAAGAATTAAATGCAGCTAAACAAGATGAAGGTGATTATCTAACTATCTGCAGAATAATAAACAAACTGCAGTACTTTGATATAAGATTATTTTACCTTAAAAAAGGTGAGTATGAAGGTTGACTAAATTCTAAGATTAAGGAAGACCACTCGTTCTCATTCATAAACATATACTTAATCCATGCAATACCAAGCAGTATAATAATATCAATATTATTAAGAGTAGGTTCTTTTTAAGGTCAAAACGATGTATCTTTCTTCTCTTCTACTTTTTAAAGATTTTCTGGAATTTCAAAAGAACCTATGAGATTTAGCAATAATTACCCTTTAAAAGGTATTTGGATTTGGGAGTTTACTTCCTCTAAATTCTTTCAAAAATACAAGCTGTTATTAATAAATTATAATCCAATGCTTGTAATGTTACATCAGACTTCAAGTTTTTTAAGTCCAGAAGACCATATGGGTACTGTGGTACTGTGTACTCAATCACGTCTAGTGATTTCTAGTTTTTGTTTATTTGGTTGGTTTTTGTTTTTGTTTTGTTTTGTTTTGTTTTTTAGTCGTGAAGGTTCACTGATGCTGGCTATTCATTCTAGAAACTCAAAAAGAGGGAGCACTCATTAACGATTGAACTACTTTATTAAATGACTAAGCACTATAGTGATAATCCGATTTACATGTAAGTGTAAAAATACTAATAAAGGGAGATTTTATTGATTTCATTATATCTAGTTCTTCAGATCTAAAGGATTAGGAAGAACAAACTACACTGCAAATAAATAAGAAACATATCACCTCATTATAAAATATTTTCCGTAAGTAATTAAGAAATCATGATAGTTTGGAGACATTCAAATGCCTTCATAATTAAATCTGTGCTAATATGAAACCCATATGAAGCCCTGTTTTAAGCCCCTTGTATCACTTTCCTAAAGGAAACTGCTTTCACCAGGAAGTGGCTAGATTTATTGTGGAGACAAAGCAAAAAAGTATTTCAGGAATATCTGTTAAATGCTTTAGCAGTTAAAACATGCTCAACAGAGTTTAAAGAGTAATCCCTCAGGTGTGTGCTTTATGCTTTAGAGACGTTCCTTGAAGCAATACCCAATCAATTAAAACAAACAAAGAAACACAATACCTTTCATTAGGTTTCTCAGGTTAGCTTTCATGGACAACAGTTGTGAATACAGTATCGCATTCTGTATGATATTTCTGTGATGCAGGTAATTATTTTGTTGAGACAGGTCCTGCAAATATTTCCTCACTATGATTGTTACCAAATTCTAGATGCCTGCTGCCTTCTAGAATAAACATATGGCAAGAAAGCTGGTGGAAATTTTGTTTTATATTCAGTGTAACAGGGTAACAATGGTAACAGTTGCCACTGTTCAAAGGGAAATGACTGATTCAAAACAAAACCTTAACCTGGCAACCTGTCAGAGTGAGACAAGCAGTGATGCCAGTCAAAACAGCAAAGGCTGTACTGTTCCTCCTCCCTCAGTCTTTCTCCTACTATGAAAGGCTGTATTATGTTTACAGTGTTTATTTTATCTCTGAGCATTTTGCTGATGCAGTGCTTCAGTGCTTTTTTCATAGTCATTTCCTGCTTTTAGGTAAAATGCTTTAAAAAATTATCTGTTTTGTCTGTTGCTGCTGTGCCTGCATTGCACTTTGATACCCAAAGTTTCACTGTCTGTTTCTTAAAGCTTCAGCTTTGGCTGGAACTGGAGAAGCTACTCTGAGAGAGGGGTGGGATGTAATTGCATCATGTTGGGAACAGGTTAAAGAAAGAGCTGTGACAGCCCAACAGCTGCAGGGTAAACTCTGGCTAGGCATCTGACATCTGGCAGCATCTGGTGAGGCATCTGACAAACCTTCTCATCCTCTAATGTTCTAGGTCAAATGGGGACAGAGAGAGGTTTTGTGTAGGGTGGGACTGCAAGCTGAGCAGCTGAGTTTTTTAGTAAGGTATTTCAAGTCCAGCAGTCTGGCCACACAGATCTGGTAATACTTCAGGACAACTAGTGAGCTACCACCCTGGGGTACCTCAGGTCTGAGACCAAGGAAAAAATGGCCAAAACCATACTCTTAAACTGTCTAAGAGCAGAATAACAACATTAAAATCAATCTTATCAACAGATCTTCTGTAGAATGTGAGCCATCCCATGATGACATTATTTAGACTGGACTAGACTGGATAATACCTTTAGTCCTTCTGACTAGATCCTGGACTGGAGGAGACATCTGCTGTCACCTAAATAGCATCCCGCACTGCAGTCTACTCATTATAGCAGACTCAAGCAGTGACTATAGCCCAGAATAAGAGATTAAAGAGGTGAGCATTGGACAGGTTTTCAAGCATTATCTCTTAAAAGCATTATCTCTTAAAAAATAAGGCTTTCCACATGTGTAAGAGCACCAATCAAACTGATTAACCAAAGAGAAACATAGATAAAACATTTGTTCATTGAAGCCAATACTTCCCAAATAACCTTCTCAAGTCAGGAAGAATCATAGCCAAACTGTGTATAAATCCAAAGGCCTGCCCTTTCCCTCCTCGCCTACCCCCGCCACCTCCCACACCTTGGTGAGTGACTTTGGCCGAGCATGAAGCAGAGAAACATTGACATTTCCTCTGTCAAAATATTATTCTGCCCCCACACATGTAGACAATCTTTTCAAAATATATTTGATTTTTATCTGCAAAACAACAAGAAAATTTCCTCACAAGAGGAAACTTTAAAATCAACTACTAAGAAAAACAGTTCATTTTAACCAGACTATTTACAAATCCAAATGGATCTGCCTGGCCAGAATACCAAGATGGAGGCAAATAAATATTTCTAATGCAGCTGTAGGGTTACAGATTTAATATGCTTATGCCTCATTTGGTGAATGTTGGTGTGTCTTTTGCAGCTACTGGTATCTTCCTGTCCAATGCATTTGCATGTCAGACCATAAACCTGAATAGTCTGTAAAAGGGAAAGTTAAGAGGGTGACTGCCAGATGTCATCATAGTTGTAGCTGTGAGGAAAAGATATTTTGAAAACTAACAGGGTACTTCCCTGATGTAGAAGCACTCTCTGTCATGATACTTTGTTAAGATGAAGGAGATCAGCCACTGGTACAAGGCTATCACCCAAGGTTGTCCACAGACATCTCTTTTTAAAGGCATTTCCCACTTTTCATTATATAGACAAAGGACAAGGGCTGGCACCAACCGAGAAAACATTTAAGCCTTTCAAGCTGTACTGATTTTATCCAGTAAAGGTACTGGCCACAAGTACTTGAAGGTTGTAAATTCAGAGTGTGAGTGAAAGAAGCTATTTGATGGAGAGCCAGTGTCTCTGTCTTCCTATCCCCATTTTAGTTACCTCATTTTCAGCTGCAAAAGTTTTGCTTCATGACACAGCAATGGAGTGGTTACTTCTACCAGCCTTCCTGAACCTACCTTAAGGGTACTTGTTGGAGCTGCCTTTCTCCCTCTGTAGGCTTTATTGTAACAGCTAAGAAGGTTTTTTCTAACAACTAATCTAAGTCTTCTGTCACACATGAAGCTGATTACTTCTTGCCATCCTTTGATGGAAACAGGATAAGTGATGACTTCAAAATTTGTAAAGTAAACATTGGTTGATGTTTATCATCCTGTCTTCAATCTTCTGTTTTTCCTGATAGACCATATTTTATAAATTTTCCCATTGTTCTTTGTTCTCCTCAGGACTCTTTCCAGTTTACCACATCTTTTTAAAGCTGAGAGACAAAAATAGATGTAGCTAAGGTTTTACCAGTCATTAGTAGAGTGGAATAATTTCTTTCCATGTTTTATGTAGAGTTTTCTTTTTAATAAACACAGAATTATATTCTTCTGTTTTGAAACCTTCATCAGCAGTTGACTCATATTCAGTCCAGAATCCAACAGACCCGGTCCTTTTCTTTTTCCAGCCTTCCCCGTTTGATATTGTATATCTGAGTTTCTCTTCTAATACAGAACTTTATAGTTTATAAAATTTAATTTAAATGATTTTGTCTGTCTCCCTCCCCAGTTTATCACTTTTACTCTAAATCTTATTTTACAAATTGCTTGCAGTCTTCTGTGCTCTGCCCAGGTTTTAAGTGTTTCCCGTTCCACTGAGATATTAATGACTTTAACTCTTCTGAGATCTTTTCAAGCATATTCTTCCAGTTTGAAAATGAGCCATTGGGACTCACTTTTTTCATGCAGTTCTACACTGATCTTATAACAATAATATCTAGATTATATTCCACCAGTTTTCTTAGTGAATGAATTGCTCTTGATAGAATATTTGTAATTTTTGTAAGTTTATCCTTATTTATTTATTTATTTATTTATTTTTCCATCAAGTACAAGTATTCTAAAATAATTCTTCTTTTCATTTTACTCATCCAGTTTCCAAGCATCTTCAGCTTCCTGGATAAAATTCTTCAATTGTTGGTTAATCCAGTTCAACACATTTCCTTATGTGGTGAATAAGCCATTTCAAACTCCTGGTTGGTATTTGTTCTTTACTCGTTGACAAGCTGAAGGAACACTTTGTACAAAACGAAGTGTGTTGCTTCTAATAGTACATGCCTGTCTGTCACAGTATCTTGCTTATTCAATTAGGGGTATATAATTTTGGCTGGTTTACAATATTTTTTAATTGCATTTCCTTCATCTGATGTTTTTCATTGTTTACTTTATTTTCAAGCCTAGCACTTGAACTACTTATTTTTAAAATGGCCACTGCAGAATAAAACATTTCAACTTACATGTTTAAGGGAATAGCCTTTTTATTTATTTTCCTGATATATACAGCTTGAATTATTTCAGTATGTATGTATATATATATGGATGGATTTATTTTTCTATCTACTTAATTAATTTAGTCACAGCAGATTAGATGGAGCTGATATTGTATTTCTTCCTTAGCAACAGCAAACTTTCAGATTTTAGAAAGTTACACAAAAAAAGTGCGGTATTAAGATATGCTTAAGACAGAAGGATCTACCTATTACTGATTTCTGCAAGTCTTACTTTTCTTAGTTCCATTTAAGCTATGGGATAAACAGCTGTTGACTTCAGTAGTGCTAGAATATTTTACATTTTTGTACCTATGTCAACTAATTTATTTATTTTTTTTTGGTATTTTTTTTTGTTGGACTTCTGTTGAACAACGCATTACTATGCAGTATTTTGAATAACTGGATAGGGCCATTAATATAAATAAAATCATGCACAGATGGTCTAATACAGAGTATTTTTTTCAGCTCCTAATTTTAATGAAGGTTATCTGATATATAGAAAAATACTTCTACGGTGGCTGCATTAATAACTCACTGCAAATACACTTGGACAAGAGAGAGTACTGTCTACTGGGTATTTTTGTCCTATATCATGTCTTTCTCAAGTAAGAAGATATAATCAGAAAAACCTTCATACTGTAGTGAAACCAATACCACTGACTAATGTTTTCTACTTTTAGTTAAACTATGGCTTTCAAGAAATGTATTTATGATATAATATGTGAGTTGTCTGATCAATTGAAATCTACCTGCTTAACAGACATTAAAAATCATGAATCAAATTAGTCTTAATACAAATATGAGAGCGTTTCTCTTAATAATATATTATTGTTTCATTTTTCTTGCATTCTAATTTTTAATTTTTTAAAACATTTTCTTCGTATTACTAAGACTGTTTCACAGCTGCAACTACTAGATATTTAATTATTATTTTATTTGAAATGAATTTTATGTACTTTAATAATCAACAGGACTCTAAGAGATAGAGGTTGAAGGAAAACATGATTTGTTTTGTGAATCATTCCATAGCCATAACAGTTTCTTTAATTATTATCTTATTGTCAAGTATCCTTATAGGGAATTTTTACATTTTCTGAAATTAATACATGTTTTGTCTTTGTGCTTTACTTTTGTGCTTGCAAATCAGTCTTCATTTGATTTTGAATAGTTTTTGTATTCCCTGAATTTAAAAATCTATGCAAAAGAATATGAACCACAGTTGTGAGTTGTCAGGCACTAAATAAGAGCCCTCTCCTGTTTAAAATATCATTTTAATGATGTCTTATGGTTTAAAAATTATTATTTTTTTCCATATTCAATATTTATTGAATTGAGCTGTTTTCCAACAAAACAGTGTTATATCAGCTCTGTTACAGGTAATGAATCAGATTCACTAGATATACCTGAATAAGACAAAGGAGTTGAAAAAGCCAGTATTCCAAGATTCTTTTTGTCCTAGTTTTTAAAGTACATCAGTCTCAGAGTGTAATCAAAATTAGAGATTCCTACATTCTTGCAACATCTCATATCAGTTTTCAAAAATGTTGTGCCTACAGTATTTATACTCTGCAATAAATATCTCCTTCTTCAATAATTTATAATACCCTTTTCTGTCCAGAACAGGCTATTATTTCAATAATTGTATATCACTTGTTTTTTTATGATGCCCTAATTGTTTTTAATTTAAATTGTATTGTTAGGTAAAGTGTTTTGTTTGTTTGTTTGTTTGTTTGTTTTCAGAATACATTTATTTTCTTTGATATCTGACATTATCCTAATGATAGCCTCAAGGTCCTGTGTTTGACTAAGTGATTGTGCTGAAACTGGAGGCTAAGATCAGAAGAGGCTTCCTAAGCCATAATTCTAGTAATTGAGTCTGTGTATGTAATATGTATTGGCAGAACAGAATGAGTAATTTTGAAATGAATAATTTATCTGATAAATGTAGATTCTCACTTCAATATATTATATAAACAAAGCAGTTTGAATTATTCATTATTCTGATTTAACCAATTTTTGTAATCAGAAAATTACTCTAAATTTGATTGATAACGATAATTTCCCTGGGAACACTGACTCAGTAAGATCTGAAAATGAAGTGGTGATGTTTAACTAATTAGAAAATTTCTGGTAGACAGTAAACAGTTTCTGCTACCAAATTGGATAAATTTTTGAGCACCTGGTACTGTTGTTCATCATGTAGTTTTAAAATATGGTTCCTATGAATATTTGTGCATTGATTCAAAAGCTCACTTATTTGTACCATATGATTGGTTGAGCATTCATGGAAAGCACGTATAAATAATATCTGACCAGTCAAAGTAAATTTGTTTAAAAGTACCTGTGAAGAGAAAATCAAGTTTACATTATTTGACTGAGCTTATAAATTGTGTGATTTATGGCTTAATCCTATTCTGATTCATGTTTACTCACCTCAGTGGATGAAGGCTTTGTACCATGTACAGAGCTGTTTGGGCATATGGAAGATTCTGACACAGCTTTCTGTTCTCCAAGCAGATGCAATACTGGTTGAACCTTGGCCTTGGCTCTTCTCCTCCTGCACCTTTGAGTTGCATCAGTAGAAAACTGGCTGTCTGAGAGTTATCCCAGGTGAGGTATCTCTGTAGCATGTTCATGCTTTTCCTTCCGTGGTATGTAGTTTAAGATGGTAAATCAAAAATCTTGCTGTCCTCAGAAATGAGCAGCAATTTATTGTGACTGCTAGGAGTTTTCTCCCATGATTATAGATAGGAATGACACCTGTGGTTCTTTCTTTTGCCTGTACGAGAAGAAGGCGTGAAGGTTTCAGGTCATGACAACATTTGCATGACCTTCAAGGAAGAAAAAAGGGGGGGGTGAATTCCAAGCCCCAGGAATTTGTTTGCAGTAATTAGATTGCTGAGAGGGATTTTTACTCCACTGGTGTTAGCTTTCCTAAGTGAACACTGTATATAGCAGATAAAAACAAAATTTCTAAAAGTAGGAACTGCTATCTGGAAAAGTTATAAGTGCAATACAGTCTTTAGCTTTTCAGACATAGGTCAAATAAGAAGCTCTTCAGAACTTAGTGAATAGAAAAGAGTAAGTGCAAGATTGCTAAAACATTATGCTGGAAATCATATTCATGAGGAAAAAAGAATAGATTTCTATCCAACCACATAATTTCATACTTCACCTTCTCTTAGTATTAATGGGAACATTAGGACTGCTTCCAAGAAAAAGGTAAACTTTGGGGTCGTTGAAAGTTTATTTAGGGTGAGACAGACATACTAAAGCCCAGTGAAAATTTTAACATTAATAAGGGAAGAAAGTCAAACTCAGTTTTTGGTGACTATTTTAAGAATTTCACCTGAGGTCTTCAGACCTCACTGCCCCTCTCAGTATTGTTAGTGTCTGATGAAAATGTGTTTTCAATCTCTGGCATTCCAAGACTGAAAGTAAATAATTCTGTCCTTGAACCATAGTGCAGATTAATTACTAGCTGGAAATTGTTCCTCTTGAACAGAGAAAATGAAAGTTTTTAACAAAGAGAATATTCATTAATCTTGTGAGATGTTTTTTTTGGAAGACTTCTGAGGGGAAAAGCACTAACAAGCTTTAGATATAAGGCCAAATTTTCTGTATACTTGTATATCACATGTGTCCCAAACAAGATGTTATAATAGCTGTGTGTCCTTGTAATGTCGAGTGAGATCTTTGGCTACAATGAAGACAGAATATTTGCTTGGAGAAGTTAAAGCACTAAATAAGTATTTTTGGACTGACCCAAACAGCTTTGTTTTAACAAGACACTTAAAATCAGATACTAGCAGTTTGAAGAAAATGATTTAAAGAAAGACAATGGAAATATGCAATAAAGTAGACAGACATGCATCACTTTAAGGTTGTATAATTAAAATATACGTTCTTTATCAGGAAGTTTAATCCATATAGGAGGCAGATGGGCAAAAATAGATGTGTATACGGGTACCTTTATTACAATTTCTTAGATTTTGTACTCAGTGTAATTTAATTGTGTTACTTCAGCATTAGGTGTGATGGGAATGATTGCAGCACTGGCTTACTTGGAGCACAAGGTGTGCTGCTCCAGCTTACCAGCTTGGATGGTATACTCTGTGTCATCTATTTGACATGGTCTCCTTCTTGGGCAGAGTCAACTCTTGCCACTGCCTGTAGCCACACATCACTTCTGTAGCCAAGCAGCCCCAGGCTGGTTTGTCATGCCTCTGCTCAGAGGCTAAGATGTGGGTGATTCTGTCCAAGGGACTAAGGAAACGTCTTTTCTGTTCCTCACTTTGTTTCATGACTTCCATGTATAGCACAAGCTTGCTTGTGAGAGCTTGTCTGCACAATAATTTTGAGATAGTCTTCAAAACTTTAGCTTGCTTTATCCTTTAAATTCAAATGTGGTCTATGTATTATATGTGCTCTCTTTTGATCCATAGAGTATGTGTTTCTGTCATAGGTTGTAGGTGGTAAGCTTGATTCTTTAGTTACAGAGCAATGTCTTATGGGACCTTGGAGCAGTTTCTCTTATCAGCAAAAATTGTGAATATCCCACAAATACAGATGAACTGTGGAGAAGTAGGCTAAAGATCTTATTTTTTCATGTGTTCACTTAACAGTAGAATAAAATTAGATAATGTTTCTCTGTAATTGTGAAAAACACTTTTGACTTAAAGGAAAGAAACTCCTTCTGACAAAGAAACTCCGGAAATTGAAAAGTCTTCCTTTCTTGAATAACTCTAAGCTTGGTACTTTGGATCAGACAAATACTAGAATATTGTAGGTTGGGGAAATGAAGATTAGAAATAAGTTCTCCAGGGCTGCTACATTAAGTAAGACTTGATGAATGATTTCTGTCCTGTTTTATGGCCACTAGGACAGGGACTATGCTTGGCACTCCTTAAACATCTGCATTTTCCATAGGTATATTGTGTGTGGCTGCACACCCCATGCAATAGGTACTTGGTCATTATGACCAGAATTAGCAGCAGAATTCAGGGTCACAGGTGAATCAAGAACAGTGTGAGGGTGTAAATGTTTGTGGAGACTTCCATCAAATAGTCATAATAACCAAACCCACATTCTTAACATTAACTGCCAGGTAACACTTGAGTTAAAGGAAGCATATGCTTGAAATGAATTTCTTGCTGCCATCTAGTGTCTAAAGGCAAAATGACAAGGAATTTTCTAGAGTTCCAAGTACTGATTTTACATTCAACATCAGGATATTCCTCATATTCCTCTTAATGTCTCAAGTGTAGACAAAGACCAGTCCTAATAGAAAAGTTTTTAAGGTTTACCCTTAAGAAGCATGGGGAAGTGTAATTAAGCTTGTGCAAGAGAATTTTGTGAATTTCCCCATGCAGAATCCCCTATTCCCAGCAGAATCATTTAATGAGGTACGAGAAGAAATGCTTAATAATCCTTACTTCCATGGTAGACAGGGAAGAGCCTGGATTTGCAATATTTGTCACCCTATTAATTTTCTCCATGAACTCAGCCATTGTACACGTTCTAGCAGTGTTGTACCATGCTCTAGAAAGACTGAAAAGGACTGTTGCCCCCATTGTATAGAACTTAATAGGAAAAAAGATGTAGCCTGCACTTTACAGGGTGGTCTAACTGAGACAGAGATGACATAATCTATTACATGAATTTTTAGATTAATTTCCCTCATTGTGCTTTTCTTCATTCTACCTGTTTTTGCTCATGAGCCTTTGCTTTCCTGTGCTCCTGTTTTTATATCTAGAAAGTATGAAACAATCTTTAACTCGTGCTCTTCTCAGCTGGACTATAACCTTTGGCTGATGGAAGAGGCTGTTACTCTGGGCTTCTTTGCAAGAAAGTGTCGTAATTTCCACTTGCCTTCTGAAGGCCAGCTGTCTTAAGACAAACAGGAGTTGAATGCAACTGTAACACTTCTTGTGGCAGGAGGTGTTTGCAGTAGTCTAGCTCTGACTTTTTGCTAAATTCTTACTGATGATTGTGATTATGAGGAACCCACCCCATACATCCTTGCACTTACACAGATGTTTATTGGAAACATCTGAAGAAACTCTGACACCCATATTTACAATATAATGAATGAAGACAGTGGTAATAGGAAAATATTGAAGAAAGACAATGCAAAATCACTCAAAAAGTGAGTAGATATTAAGAGATTTGCAAAGCAGGGAGAAAGGATGATTTTGCACTGAGAACAAGCATCCACTGTGTTCTCTGTTCCATGCTAACCTCCACAGCTAGATCATCTAATTCTTTAACAAATGTTTGACTTTCTTTCCAAGCTGTACCAGACCCATCATGCGTTTTCTTGCCAATGAAGTATCGTCGTGTCTTTTTGGGTCATTTTTTGAAGAGCCGCACTTACTATGCTGATTGAAAACCCAAATCTTTTTAGTTCTTATCTACTGAAGCCAGTGCTCTGTGAGAAATTGGTACACATCTTCCTCTTCCCTGTCAAACAAGTAAATATCTTGGGGGGTGGGTTCTTGGCTTGAAAAAAATGTTCTGTAACGTCAGTCAATGGAACTTAAAATGTTTAGCTTAATTCAGTGATGACTTAGGTCTGTTGACTTTAATGAAATTATGTCTGCATAGATGAGGGTTTGAATTATATAAGTGCAAAAAGCATCTCTTCATTCTGTAGGTTTTGGAAATGTTGTTGGCTTAAACCACTGGAACAAACTACCCGGGAGAGAAGTGAATTCTCTCTCTCTTGACATTTCTAAATAAGACTAAATGCCTTTATGGTAGACATATTTTATTCAAACAGAAATGATATGGCTCAGTGCAAAACTACCTGGATGAAACTCTGGCAGTATTATACAGTCAGATGTCTTTTTGGACTTCAAAATCTAGGGGTCTTCGATGTTTTCTGCCTTCTTTAATGCAGTTTCCTGTTGGTTATATTCATTGCTTCTTAACTAAGCCTGTAAACTTTTGGGGAGCCAAAACCTTTCTGTAAATTTGCCTGCAAAAGGACTGTAGAGAATCTAGTAAGTGGTTGAGGGGTACCTTCCTGTTGACAGTAATGCTGAATAGTTGTTGACATATTAAGGCACTAAAATCAGAAAATCATTCTCGAAAGAATGTTGAAAACTTTGTAATATGCTTAAGACATATTTACTTGTCTTGTCTTAAGTCGTAAGTCATGGACCATCATTTGGGTTTGGTGCTGACATAGCTTGAGGTGACTTCGAGGTGACTTTCAAGTTCTACTTCTTAAAAGGTATTATTTTAACTTTTTTTTTCTTTTTTTTTTTTTTTTTTTTTTTTTTTTCCAGTTTGAGTCACACATTTCAGTATCAGATAATATTTGCTTCTGTATTTAGAACTTATCTTCGCAACACTAAACTCTGGACATTCACATATTTTTTTTGAGATGAAAGCCTAGCTGCTGGCACAGAAGAAAACAGTCTCTTCAAAGAAATGTCTGGACTTAATATCCATCCTTAAACCGGATCAGTTTAGCGTTGGCAAAAGCCCATTTGCAATCAATCTGCTAACAGAAGAGTGATAGAGAGGCTACTTTCCTTGAGTTAAATAACTGAAAGCAAGCCTTGAGGTCACTCTTTGGTGCATGGTTATCACATCTGTAAATAGAATTGACCAAATTTCTACAAGGAGATTTTCAATAATATATGGTTAGCTGTGCAGATCTAAATACAGTCTGAAGGGAAGGGAAGGAAAGGAAAGGAGGGACTTTAAATTTCAGCTGACCTTTCGGAAAGAGGTTATATCACATTGAATAGTGATAATTTAAATGCTCCAGAAATGCACTAGCTATGAATGTGCTTTCTGTTGAAAGATTGAAATTGAGTACAAATAGAGACAGCTAGATGCCACAGAGTATGTATTTTCACCAACATAATTTCAGAATGGTGAGGTAAAAGCTTTGCTGATGTAATGCTTAGAAGTGCTCTCTTTCATGAGAGAAAGCAAAGCCCTAAATGTTTGTGCTGAACTATGGCAGCTGTTATTACTAGATGTTAATGTATCTCAGAAAAAAACAGTGACCTAGAAGGAACTGGAATATGCTAAACAACAGTTTTAAAACCAGTACTTAATAAAAGCTGTTTCCATAGGAACTCAGATCCATGAGAACTGACAAGGTTTTTTAGGGACATTGTGACTGGCATATAATAACAATAATAATAGTTCTTGTATTACATACATAGCTTATACATGTTATGTGTGTTTTGATTTCCTGATTTTATTTTTCAGAATAAAACATTGACTGTATTTTTTTTTTTTTTCAAACGTGCTTCTTTTTAACTACCCCTTAAGTTTCTGTGAATTCATTCATATTATTTACTGCAGGAAATTTACTTAAAAACAACTATGGACTGAAAAGTTTGTGCTTTGCTTGTACCACCACCAAGTATTCTTGTGGATTCCAGCCTGAACCCATGCCAGGCAAGTAGAGGAAGCTCCTTAGAGCTGGTGAGAAAATGTCATATCTGCTGATAAGAAATTGGATGGAACTCTATTATCCCTCTAGTACATTTTCTAATCACCCGTTACTGATCAGAGCCAGGGCCACATGACATCATCTCACGATCTGGTTCCTACTCATAATGAATTGCTCCTGACTATGTTATACTCAATAAGCTGGCAATCACATTCCCTTCTGCCAGCATCTGCATGATATCACAATCTGAAGCCTTCTTAGCAGTTTCACTTCTTATAGTCCCTTTACAAGAGGGACCTCATTCACTTTCTTCTGTATTTCCATTCACTTGGACTCATTTCATTTGTTTCATTATTTCTCTACTCATTCTTGGATAAGACATAGTATCCTGTAATTTGTAATGGGGCTGATTCCTTTGACAGGTTTGAGGCAGACCTGAATGGAAAAGCTGTTACAGGGTGACCAGCCTACTAGGAGATGGACTGATCCACCTTCAGTATTGAAAATTGCTCTGGAATTCAGCTACTGAGACTTTGTAGTCCAGCCATGTACATGGCAAGGATAAATTACCCCATCTTGCCTCCCTGCACCTTCTCCTCTCTACTCCCTTACCTGTGTAGATGGCTCTATCTGGGGTGTGTATGTGTGTTAGTGTCACATTCACTGATTAGCAGGTGGTGTGCTTTTCCTTAGTGATATATTTAAGGAGTGCATGGGGATCATCTTCCACAGTAATACAAAAAGTACTATGTTATTCTCAAGATAATGAAGCTGTATTTGCTAACGCAACTTGCAAAACAGTTCTTTAACAGAAATGATTCTCAAAAGTATGTCCAAAGTCCTTGTCTCCTAATGGTGTAGATTTCCTCAGAGACCACCCCTAAAAGAGAAATCATTTGGTTTGTCAGTGAGACAGATCTATTAAATAATAAAAGCCACTGGAAATAAACATAATCTATTTTATTGGCATTTCTACACATTGAACTGTAGGGGGAGGTAAGGTCAGATGTTGAATATACAAGGCAACAATTGACAAAATAACGTACAGCATTTGTTTGGTGTCCACCCAAGGATTTGCAGTGCTGTTAAAATGGTAAAGTACATAGCAAATATTTGATGTGCCAAACCACAGAAGACGGTTGATGATGGTTATGGAGTGGAAGAGACTCAGTAAGTAGTCCCTGTAGTGTATTTATTATACTGTACATTTTGCACATGCTATTTATTATACTGCTAGTAATATGTTTGTAGTTCTTTTTTTTTTTTCCTTTTTTCTTTTTTTTCTTTTTTTCCCCATAATATATTATCATGAACAAAGACACAGCAGGAGAGTTTTACTTATTGTGAAATAAGAGTTATGCTTCTTGCAGTCTCCTTCCTTGCATAGAAATCAAGTTAAAGTTTTGAGGAAAGAACAATTCAGAAGTATTTTATTCCTATATAGAAAATTGTTCTGGAAATAAAGTTAGATGCAAGAACAACTTTAAAAAAAAAAACACACAAAAACACAACAACAAAAATATACACACAAAACCAAACAAAACCAACAATGAGACCCTAAAAGCAAAGAGAATTGAGCTAATTAGGAAGATGGAGAAAGCTGATGTTTTGAACTTCTCCTATTCTCCATTCATTTGCTTCCTTATTTTTCTATTAACTTTCCCACCACCACCATTCATTTATCTATTTAGTTTTTGTTTTGCTTTTTCTCCTCCTGACATGTCTGCAGTTCAGTCCTTTGCTCTAACAAAAACTTGCTGTTGCAGCTAGACAACTCACTTGCCATGAGCAATGCAGCTGTGCCAAATCAGAGCTCAGCATATGCCGGACACCTCTGGATGTGGGAATATGACATCCATGTGGATGTATATGCTAAATGCAACATCTCTGTGGTGTGAGAACATCTGAGAAAGAGGCTTCCTCGTGGTCTGCCAGTGTGTTTTGCTGTCCAGCTCTGTCAGGTTCTCAGGACCGGAGGTGACATTGCATTTATTTTGTGTGTGATAAAGCAACCTGGAGCAGGGCTCATTGCTTACTGTATAATGCTGACCCTCCATTTTGAAACTGAGAAATCATGAATGTTATATAAGTTTTTCTCTTGTAACCTAGCCTGGATGATTCCTTAGGATCTATTCTGTTTTCACTTGCAGTGTTAGACCTCAGCAATTTAGTTGATTTCAGTTGTAGAAGAATGTAATTTGTTTTTAATGTTACACTTACAAACAATTTTAAAACAAAAACACACAAAACAAAACAAAACAAACAAACAAAAAACAGAAAAAAGGAAGAAAGTGCCCAATTTGAATTACTACATAGCTATCTATGGTCTAAATGTGGACCACTTTTCAGAACAGAAATTGTCTGCAAGACAGACTTCTGTCCTTCAAATACTTGGGCTGATACTTTAAGCTTGTGAATGTCCTGCTTGAAGGTGGGACTCTCAATTGCTTAATGTTAAACATGTGCATAAGTGTTTGTCAGACTAAGTCTACAACTTTCTTCTCAAGGCATCTACGATTTACTGTGTGCATTTGCTAGGCAACTTTAAACAATGCACCTTTATTCTGTTTACGGCAGCTATGGATCTATTTCTCTGTGTTTGTGGAAATCCACATTTGGCATTTTCAGGGATGCCTGAGCCAAGCTCAAACCTCAGTGTTTGGATATGGGGTGATGGTAGACACATGTCTTGTCAGTTCCATGGTTTTGTTATTTTTTAAATGTATTTGATTATACACTGGGCTTATATAATGAAAACAAAGCTTTCATTAGTCTGGTTTGGGAAGGGCTGTGGTTGAAGCCGGGGGGAGAGGAATGACAGAGAAGGATCATGGGGAGGGAGGCAGGGTAGAATGAAGGAAGACAAACAACCAATGGTGCTACAGCAACTGAGGGGAAAACTTCTGAAGAGAGCATTTGAGAGATGAGTGGTTAAGAGCTGGCTCTCTCCCAGCTCCTTTGGAGAAGTCAAGAAGTGGACTAGTGATCCTGATGTGTTCCTGATTATGAGCTGCAGGTACCTTTCTGCCTTTTGTGTGAGGCTAGTTAGTGTGAGCAAGGGGCTCTAGGAGCCTGGGAGTTCTGGGGTTTACCACTGTAAAAGTTCCTTGCCTCTCATGCTTGCTGTTTCCCAGGTGGTAGAAAGAGGGTACCAGGTGCCTTCCATAGGTGGGCTCCTCTGGATTTTGGGGAGATAAATAAATGGGCACCAGAAGAATCAAGCTCAGTGGAAAATAGTGGTCCCCTCAAGACTGTGTTTTAAATTAAATTAAAGTTCATTAGTTCTGATGTAGGGTTTTTATAAGTTGTATGGAATTCAGCATTGTGAGATCTGGTCAACTGAGAAGCAGGGGTGAACAAAGTCTATACATGTGTCTCTTTGCTAAGGACATATTTCATCAATCAGAAATAGAAATGCTGTGTAATTAAGATGTCTGGATCTCAGCCAGTCTGAGACAGAATGATTGTCCAGTCACATCTGTCCTGTGCTCTCTTTACAGGGTCTCTTCACAGGTTAGGAGCAGTAATGAAATTAATGAAAGTGAAGATAATTTATGGTGATACGTGGAGCATGGAAAGTGGGCTGGAGTTTTTGTGAGTCTGAAAAAGCAGAGAACCTAAACTGTGGGGAAAATATCTCTCTCCTAAAGATGAAGGGCTAGATTCTCAATTGATGTACATCTCTGTAACTTGGCATCAGTGAAGCTATGCTGATTTACACCAGCTGAAAAATCTGGAAGGGAACAATGCACTTTTTGTTTAATTTTTATGTGCTCCTCAGACCATCCGTCACATTCAGTTGGAGAGGAGTAACATTTGGTAGATGTTTAGTCTTGACTTTTTTTTTTTTTTTCCTGAAATGGGAAGTGAATTAAATGAAGTGAAGACAGAATAAGGCAGTTTTATTATTAAAGCTAACTGAACAGTCTGAAAAAAATTAAAATAAAATTAAAAAAGAATTTGTCAAATAATTTATTTGACATCATGGCAAAATATGGGCAAATGCATTAATTTTTGTAAGAACTAATAAATAAAAATGTAGAGAAATAGACTGTGGTGGATATGACTAGATTTACAAAGAGCTGGCTGTAAAAAACAGTCTGGCTAATCTATCTCTTTCATAGTGTATAAGGTCTCTAACTGTTGCACCTTTATCATCTACTGGTATCAATGAGTGCTGAATATCATCAGAAGAGCTAAGATCAGGGGGTTATCAGTTCTGTTTTAGGTACCAAATCAGAATGTGAACTGATGTCTGTCTTTACCTGCTGAGTTCATTTTTCTGCAGTGGTAGAAATCACATGCTAGAGCTGTTGTGTACCCTTTACAAATGGCTCCTTCTGAATAGAGGGTGGTAGAGTGGTGGCTTGTTCAGAGACAGGAGCACTGTGCCAAAGCATTAGAAATGATTCATGGAATGAGATCTATGCTCACCCAGAAGGAACAAGTGATTGTAAGGGGCTCCTTTCTGTTTTTGCTGAAGCTTATTGTCAAAGTTGGAGGGGAAGAACAGGCAATGCCAAACTGCTGGCTCCCTTGTGCGTAGACAAGTGTTAGACTGTAAACAGGGCTGAGGATCTGGCAGACTTTTTATCCATCTCTCCAAAACGTTGGCCCATACATCATCATTGGCACTGAGCAGGAAATGACTGGTGCCAGCAAAAGCATTGGAGCAGGTCATTTCCCCAGTGGACCAAGGGATTGGATTTAGACTTCGGGAGTTCCCATTTAGGACATGTTCTGCTGCTGGGCAATACACATAACATTACCATTATTACAACTGGACGGTAGGTCACAGTCCAACCTGTACAGATTAAAATAAAACAAAACAAAACAACAACAACAAAAAAGAGTTTGACAAGGGTGTTGCAGTTCAATGTGGGAAAAATATAACAAAAATATTATTGTCAAGCCTACTGACCAAGCTGTACAAACTACCCTTGCATTCGTTGGGAAATAGCTATTTGGGAAATGTACTTCTTTCAAAGAAGATCTTGAAATTTCTAATTATTAAATTTTGCATTTGAAATCAGAAAAGACAGGTGTGTGATATTTTAAACAAGACATGAATTAAAAAACAAAAGTGAAACAAAACAAAAAACATTTTGGGATAGACTCAGTGAATTTGGAAACACTCAAGAAGCTAGGTTTACCTCCCAGGCATCATGGCTAGGACAAATAGCTGGGGAGTGCAGGGAGAAGACCACCTTGCTACACAACAAGGCAGGTGGGGCTGGACTGTGGCGAACCAGCCACCAAGCTGGTGACATCAGGGAAAGCTGATGTTTTGAACTCGTTTGAACTAGTTCAAGTTAACTAACCCAGTGTGAACTGCAGTAGGAGAGGAAATGCACTGGGCGCAAACTTAACTCACTTTTCTTCCAGCATGGAAAAAACAAGGAGATTTGCTGGCAAATCATCTTGTGAAGAAGCTAGGAGAGAAATGATCAGCTCTGGCTTCTGATGGTGGGTGAGCAAGACTTCATTGTGCACTTTTTCTGACCTACAACCCGCATGTGGAATGTGCATAATCTTGTGCAAGTGTGTGGGCAATTTGAAGTTATGCGCTTTACCAGGAGAGGCCATGAGGCTCAGCAGAGAGTGGAGAGTTTCATCACATTACATAGCAGCCCAAGTGAGTAAATATTATGTGGGTTGTGCTGGTACACAGTAGTACACCAAGTGTTGCTTACATGGCTTTAGAGGTGTTCAGTCTGATTCAGTGGCTTCCCAATACATTTAGTGCCAAAGACCTATATAGCAGTATGCTTCTCTTGGACAGATAGGTCTTGAAAACATAAATTCCTGTGTGTGGTTACTGCACAACCAGGATCTGACTCATTGCTTCACAAAGCACTTTTAGTTGCTTTGGAAACATGTTGATATGCACTATACAAACCCAGTAACTATGCTACTCCAGTAACAGTCTACTACCTCAGAGTTGTCAAGAAAGCTTTGCTCTCTGCTATCTGCACCATAGACACTAGGAACCTCATGTGACGAATCAAACTGGATCCCATAGCTCCAATGACTCTGAATCCACCCACTCAATGTCCCAACTGATAGGGAGCTCTTAAGGGGTGCTAGTAGCATATAGTCCACTACAAAGTATTGCACATTTTTCTTTCCATACAGTAGAGGGTAGTAAAATACTCAGAGACTGTTTGCAAGGAAAGAGAACCAAACAGTAGAGCAATTGAGTGGAAAATAAACAAAAATGTCTATTTTTAAACCAAGCTAAATCCATATAATTTTAAGTGGGGAATCTTTTGAGTCCTTGTAAAACAAGTTCCTTAAGTGTTTGACTGATGCTATTTAAATGTGTAATGACTTGGGCTACAAAAAAAAACAAAAAACAAATGTATTCATTGCTTCTCTTTCAGGATGAAAGTATCAAACATTTTAATTGTGTTCTGCATGTTTAGGATGCAAACAAAAGTGTTCATTGTGAACCTGCCAATTAAAGGAGCTGCCAGTAGGAAAAGGAGACGTGCCTGTGGCTTTCTTAGGGTTAGCTAAGGTCAAGTCTACAACTAATGCACAGGTTCTTAAAGAATTTTGGCATCTGAATGCATGAAAATCCCAAGTAATACTTGACTCTTTCTATCAAAAGTTTGGTAGCTGTTTTTCTCTGAAAGCAATGTCTGCAGAACAACAATGAGGCTTTATTTTTTTTATGTATTTGTTTTGTTTTGTTTTTACTTAAAGACACATATAATGCTTAAAGAAGCAAAGCACTGTCCAAGATGTTAGTACTAAGAACCTAAAGGACTGCCCTTGATCTTCAGAGTATGGTACATAACTGATCTAGTCTAACAGTTAGCTTATAAACCATGTAGGAAACCAAAGGAAGCTGATGGAAGCTGAATCATGTGCTTCTAGTTAAGGAATGGTTTAGAACTGTACTGTTTGCAGAGCTTAGAGTTTTGAAGTAACAACTTCATTTCTATTAAGTCATTGTCTGCATATTTCTATAGTACCATTTAACTACACGCAAAATAGTTCAGTAAGATCATATTTCTCTTCCAAGCACTTTTTATTTATTTATTTATTTATTTATTTATTTATTTATTTATTTTAGGATTTCACAGAAGTCTATAACCTGTGGAATTGATTTCCAGTCATGTTCTTCTACCAGCTGAGCCTGATAAGACCTAAATCCCAGCTCACTTATTCCAGAGCAATCGGAATTATGAACAGACAAGGCATGCTGGCACAATGATCTGTCAAGAGCTGAGAATCTAAACCAGTGTTACCTACTGCAGAAGAAAAGCTGTATTTAAATTCATGTATGAAATGGAAGATATTTAATTTACATTTATGTAAAGGTTCTAAGTTGGTTTATCTAAATTGCATATTTCTATCTCAGGTGATGGCACTTCATAGGAAATTCACCTTTGGGTGTGTATATAATGAGTTTGTGCTACTTAATTCTTTGCATTTTATTGGTAACTATTACTAAAGATTCAGAAGAAAATTTTTAAAAAAGATAAAACAAACATCAAAACAACAACAACCTGTAAGCCAAATCTAATTTATTTTCAAGAATCTCCAGTTATCACTCACATATCCTTGCCAAACATGTCATTTCTCTTAGCAACGGTACACATGTCTTTAACAAGTATTTTAACCTGTGAAAGTCACAGAGCACATTTCTGAATTGCAAAGTTATGTTCAGATATCACGGGGTTGATAATGATAAATTGCTTCCCCTTCTTACAAGGTCATGGAAGCTATTCTTGCAGGGTACACTCAGTGTTTCAGCGCAGGTGGTTTGAATGAATTTTTGTCTTTCCAGTGGAATCTGGCTTTACTTTATTGTAGTGTTATGTCATTGTGTATGTGGAACAGTGCACACACAGTTGGTGAAAAATGTTATTTCTACAGAGAAAGATTCTTTTGCAAAGATAAGAGTAGTGTAATACATTTTTTTTTTTTTTGGTAATTCATTTGTATTTTAAAGTTAAATTGTCATCTGACGTAGGTCGGAGTAATTGTTAGATGGCAACTTGGTAGAGATACAACTAGATGTTTCCAAAATTCTCCTTTCAGTTTTGCATGCACATAATGGGTAGTGCAGTTTTTAGTGCTGTTTAAAACCCCCTTTAAAACAGGTCTTTCTGGGTTGCCAAATGTTAGCAGTGGATATACAGACAAAGTAAAAGACTGACCAGTATTTTACAGCCACATTGGTGGTTGTTTCTGTCATCACTTTGGGATGTGTAAGGCTGAATGATGTGGCAACATAGCTGACTTTGATTGTATGTCTGCCAGAACCACAAATCTGTTGCTGTATGGAATGTACCTTTTTTCTATTTAATAAGTGAAGGCAGAAACAATAGATGGAGGTTCTCACATCTCTTCTATCTCTCATTCCCATCTTTGGATTGCCTGCTAAGTGCTCCAAGTTCAAACTAGCCTCTGAATTTGATATACAGGATCCTGCTATCTCATTCATGTCTTTGTAAGGCACATTAATACTTAGCAATATCATTAAAAAATCATCTTTACTCCCAACATGTAGTTAACCAAGTAGGTCAGACAGACCTGCAATGAAATCACATTGCCAGTGTCCTCTTTTAAGCTTTCTACAGCATCTTGTTTCCTCCAAGGCTATCTTTTAGACAGTGAGTTTCATAGGGCAAACCTTATTTATGGCTTGTTTAGTGCTAAATGCTATTTTGGTGTTTAAAAGATTCATCATAAACATAGTCCAATGTACTTATAAAAACAGCTTTGCCTGACCCAGTGCCTTAATAATGTTCTTTAACTTCCCTTTAATCTTTCGGAAGAAACATTTTAATAGCCACTGCAGTGTAATTCACCAGTTCTTGAACTTTATTCTGGAGTACTGATTTCCAAATAGTGGATTCAGATTAGAATTTGCAAACAAGGTTTGAAAAGCTCATCTAAAATTGAGATTCTTGCCCAGACATTGGGAACAGAAGATGGAATGCATATTTTGCTTTCTGGTAGAGCTTTTGGGTATAGGTAACCTTATGGTTAGATCTGGATTTAAAAAAAAAAAAAAAAAAGCCTTGAGAACCTCTTCTGTTAGAACCTCAGATCCACATAACTGGCAAGAATAAGAATGCTGATATAATTGGGGATTAATATCTTTTATTTTCCTGTAGGAATTGGTAGAAGATAGGGTTAGGCTTTTGGAAAGGAGGGCTGTATCAAGTCTGATTTACTGCTGGATTTGTAAGGGTTTGGGAGAAGGCTGGCAAACTCATAAGCAAATATTTTATTTTCAGTATTCCTGGACAAATTTTCCATTTAAGGAAGGTTTGGGATAAGGCTAGGGAACTGGAAAAAAACATGTCTATAATAGCTTTTTGTGGGGTCTTCAGAGGTAGAAGTATTATGGTGTAGGCAGGAGCATATGCTTCATATTAGGTATTCCAGTACAGTTTCATCCTCTGTCTACAGTACATGTTAATTTTAGGGCTAGGGATAGAATCGTGCTTTCAGAAAAGAAGGTAGAAAGCCTTTTTATTCTTGCATTCTGCTAGACTGGCAGAGATAGGATTTAAGTTTGCATAATCAGGAACAAATACTTTATATTAAAATTTACCATGAAGATTGGTCACTTTCAATTAATAAATTTTAGGCTTAGGTTTAGGCTGGCATTATGGCCCAAAAGAGGGAGGCTGTATCAGTCAAACTCACAGTTTGATTGTTTAGGACCAACAGAGCTAAGAAATAAGGTTGGTTGTTAATGACTCAATCATTTTTTCTTCATGAATCAGTCCCTTGGCTGCATTTCAGTTTTTGCTTAAAAACGGGAGCAGAGTTAAGAAGAAAAGGCTTCCTGAGCCCAGCTTGTCACTGAATCTGGAATGGCTTCAGGGAAAGGAAACAGGTTAGTGTCATAAAAGGTAAAGGACATTATTCTGATTTCTTATGAAAACAAACTGTGTGGATTTGGGAGGGGCGGAGATTGAGAAAGACTATTGGTGATGATACAACTAGTGCCTTTAATGTGTTTTAGCTGCAAGAATTAGTTCACTGCCCATTTATTAAGTAGCAAGATGGCTGGAGTTTATCTCAAGTTTGAGGTAGGAAAAGGCTTGACCTGAAAGCTTAGGACAAGGGATGATGTCAGTGACTGATGTTTCAAGTTCACATTTTCCTGTAGGGATTAGTCTTACAATTACATTTCAGGCTAGATTAGAATTGACTTTTGAGTGCAGAAAATAAAGCTTGAAGAAGCCTGTGTCTTGTTGGATTCCACGTGATCATTAAGGATAAGAAAAGCCTATTTCACCAAATCCCATTAATTTGTCTTAGGTTTTGCTCTAGCTATTGGTTACCCAGCTATAATCATAACTTTGTAATTGTGTAAGGACTCAGGAATGCAAAGCTTGTTGTTTCCAGGATGCTATTAGATTCCATATAGCTAGTTTTGGTAGAAACTCTTACAGAATAAATTGACAGTAAAGAACAGCAGTATATGGTGTTCACCCAAGGATTCTAGAGAAAGGAGATAAATTACTGTTTCATGTAAAATCATTAGAAACTTTTTGGAACAATCAGTGGAAACAGGGATGAATATTGCATGTCGGCAGTGAATCAACATGGATTTGTAAAGTGAGATCATGCCTCACAAATCTAGTATCATCCTTCAGAGAAGCCAGAAAACTTGTGGATAAGGAAATTATGGTTGATATAACCTACTTGGTTTGTGATTTACTGAAAGCTTTTTAAAAAACCTAAGAACTCAGGATAAAAGAAAATGACTTCACATAGGTAAAGGCTGGTTAAAAGACCTAAAGCAGAAATCAGCAATAAATGACCAGTTCAGACAGAGGAAGGAAGCTACCAGTGAAGTATCCATGGGATTTGTCCTGTGGCCTGCACTGTTCTTGACATTAATAAGCAGCCTGGAAATGAGAAGGAGAAAATCTTGAGGTATCTTATTTTGCTGGCAACATTAAGTCATTCAGAATAGTCAAAATAAGATCTGTCTGCAAAGGATTATAGGAAGAACTAGGGTATATAAAATGAAATCAGCAAGTGGCAATTTCAAAATTGGCAAAAGAAGTTATTTTTGCCTCAAATTGCATTGTTAAACTGTGAAGATCTCTGCCATGAGATGTTGTGGTTATTAAAACACTTAGATGCAAAAAGTTATTGGATGAAATGAAAGAAATATCCAGGACTATTAAAGATAGAGATGCCCCTTCTATTTCAGAAACTACTCTGCCACAAATCGCTGGAGGCTATAAAAATTTTCTGTGGAATTATTGAGGTATATTGCACCGTTATCACAGTCTTCCCTGGAAATCCACTTCTGAACACCACCAGAAATTGGTCCTGGGCTAATTAGATACTTGAACTGATCAAATATAGTATGGGAGGGTCTTTATAAATTCATATTATATTTAAAAATGACCAAGTATTCAGCATATCTGAATAAATGTAGATGTCATTGGAAATTTCACAATATTGTTGTCTCTATCATCTTACTACATGATTAAATGAGAAGACAACCCCTCTATTAAGATTACTCTGGTACTCTGCATTCTGAGTACCTTTCCACACACATTTGTGGAGTTCATGAGTGCTTTCCATAGTATCTATAATCAGACAAAGTAGGTATCAAATGACACAGATTGGAAATTATTTTTTTCCTTTTGCACAACAGTCCTCTTTTCCAAAGTCAAAGCTGAGAGATATAAAGTTAATTAAAAGCATATATGTTAGGCATCATGACCAGTCTTGCAGCATAGAATTTATGTTACCAATCAAGCAATCCTTGCTTCTAATAAGCACAGACTGCTGGTTTGAGAAACTGCCCTCTGTTACCTTTTACTGCTTTGATCTGAAGGTAGTGAGTTGGTCATAGTGTCATCACTCACACTTTTGGTGAGTGATGCCCTCATTGTCTGAAATAAGCAGTAGTTTCATTTAGGCATTTAAATTAGTGTCAGAAAGTCAGGAGGAAAGATTTAGTCATTTAAACTGCATGGAGAACCTGCCCAAAATACTATATTGCTCAGGAACAATGCAAAAATTTGCTAAATATCAGGCTGCAATCAAACATAGATACTCAGGACATAGGCCAGTCATTCAATATTTATTGGAAATTTTGCGTTGCAAGAATATTGCTCATCAGAATTAATCTGGAGACAAAGGGGAGAGTATTCAATGTATCAGCACCAGAAATATCTATCTGTATCATAAACAAAATCCTGCTGGCTATTCTTGGTAATCTACCTCCAGTAAAATACCTAGTAAGACTCTTAACTCTGTTTTTCCTCTTCCATGAAAGGTATAGCTGTAGGGGTACCACTTCATACAGGTAAGAAAATGTTCAGTGCATCATGTTTCCCGTCTTCATTATACCATGGCCAATTTAACCTGATCCAGACCTCTACCTCTATTTGTGGAAGACAGCTTCATCTGTGGTCCAGAAATAATCAGTCTGAATCTCGGAAAGCCACAAGACTGAGGTCAAAAGTAAAAAAAAAAACAATCTGAGCATCTTATTTTTCCACTGAATCCCAAACTGTATTCACTGTCACCTTTTTGCTTCTGATAACTTTGATATTTCTTTAGTGTCTGCGGCCACTGGCAAAATACAAAGCCATTGTATCTTCTACCACATGCTCTTTCAAGCAAATAAAAATTATCTTTGCACTAGTATTTCTTTCTTGAAAATGAGACCTTCAAATTATAATGTCTGTTGGCTTTTCTAATATCAGAAGTTTGCAGGAGAAAATGCTTTGGAGACATGATGATTATTACTTGCTTTGAGGGAACTATTGTAGGTGTGGAAGACAGGAGAGCACAAAACTCATGTTAAAACTATCTAATGGCTCCTTTTACTTATCAGATTCAGCTCCTTAATTCATATTGCTGACAATGAGTTGCCTGGGTCTCCATTCTCTCACAGGCAATTTCTGTAGTCTGCATACATGTAGTTCTGTAGCAGTATTTTGCAAAAGGAGTAGAAAGTGGTGATAGTGTTAGATGTCCTTGGATGCCCCGTGATTTGCAGCAGCATCAGGAGAGATGATTGTTATTTGGTATCAAACAGTAACTCACTATAGAATTTTCTAAACTTGAGTTGGCTTTTCACCATGTCCCAGAACCAACCTGACATTTCACAATAGAGGAATCAAATGTCTTTTGGCAGCTGCTGATGTCATAGTTGCTTAGAGCCTGATCTCAGAATTTGGCAGCCAAGAGCCACTTTATCTGTACGCAGCTGTGTAAAACAGAGAATAGAAAATCTGGGTGTCAGCAGTGCTGTGACCTTCATATGGTGTTCAACAGAAGGCAGAATTGTTATTAACAGTTTTAAACTGTGAATACATATTTTTGGTTTTGTCAATACATGAAGCTAATGACAGCCTGTCTTGAGAAGCGTACAGCATATCACTCAAAATAGATTTTGTTTCAATGAAAGAACCTGGACAGAAGTGTTGCACTTTGCTTTACACTGTTCTGCCATGGCTGATGTGTTTGCCATCCTGAGGAGAGGGCAACACTTGTCTTCTTTTAGGATATTAGCCAGAGTTGCACTGAGAAGCAAAACAATTGATCTCTGCAGAGTGGAAACACCACATCTGATGCTCTAATGTTTAGTCTGTTCTGAGGAACTGTGGAAATTCTTTAGAAGAAAATATTCTGCATAACGTGCAAGATTTCTAATCTGCCAAACCTCTGAGGCTATTGGGCTAAAACTGGGGTTTCTTTTAACAGTTTATGATCTGGCCAATCTGGTCTGCTTGTAATACAATACAATGCAATATTTATCACTTGTGGGCCTTGGCCAGTATCATAAATCAATTGAACGATAGTTAAGTAATATTTGAACATCAGTTAAGCCTTAAGTGAATTAGGGGTTTCTATACACATGGTAGTCATCTGTCACAGATGGTTATGTGGGGAAAACAGCACAGTTCATTTTCATGTCTTTTCCTATATTCTTGTACCTCTAGAAAAGTAAAGTTAATTGACTTCTGCTTCCTATCTGTAGTATCAATTCCTATGAGTAGTGTCTTAAAACATGAAGAGATGAGTCAAGAATAAAGTAAAAGGTCAGGAAGAATTATTATTTTTTTCATAAACAGTATATTAATGAACAGGAATTGATGCAAGATTAAAACATCAAATCAAGAAAGAAGCAGAGGAAGTTTAAGATTTGTGAGATGCAACTCTTATTATCTTTAGTCTGAACTGTGTGATATGTGTTGTTGTCTTTAAAATCCCGTCTTTTGGGATTTTATAGGATAATATAAGGACCACAATAATATAAGGACCATACTTTTAGAATCATCTTTCTGACTACAACAGCTGCATAACAACATTTGAAAACATGATCTTTAAAGGGTAGAGTATGAAAAAAAATAAATAAAGAAAATAACAGTTTGCGCACAGTCTGCTAGTTTTGCCAAACTTTCAGTTTCCAAATTAGACTTCTTGTCTGTGTCCTTCAAATGATCTTTCTCCCAGAAATTGGAGTGGTATGGTTGGACCATGGAGTTTGCATCAATAAAAGTGAAGCTCTGTTCCAACCAGTTCCTAGTTGAAACTGGAACTGAGTGAAGCTGCAAAGCCTTCTTCTATTGCAAGGATTACTGTAACTTTTGCACATCTCACATGGCATTATCTACATTCAGAACTGGAGCTTGTCTCTGGCAAGAGTTGTGCTTCCCTAATTATTTCTGACATGCCCGTTCTCAGGTGTGAAGCATTTCTTGGTATCAGCTACTGAAAGGTCTGTGGTCCCTTTTAAGTAAAATTTTATTGTCTCTGCTACCAAATCTGACAGGTATTATCACTTATTTCATGGGCTTATTATCCACAGTTTACTTTGGCCTATTGGTCTTCAAACAGGGGTTTTTTTTGTACCTCATCAGCACCTGGTCTTGCTACTCCATTGATGTAACTGGCATGAAAATGCATCTGGCTCTGCCATCTGGCTTGATTTGAACTGATTACTGATTTAATAGAGTAACAGTAAATATGTCAGATGAGTTTCTGTCTGCCTTTTTTTTGTAATAAATATACAGAAAGTTTCTATGCATCTGCTATTTCACACTGCAGATTGCTTTCCCTTCAGTAGAAATCTTTGCAGATAGTCTCAGAAACAGCAAGAGCTGTTGCCTGTGTTTTTCCTTACATATCATCGGTATATGAAGATACTGCTTCCTCTGTTACTGTCACTGCTGTGTATAGGCTGGCACTTAATTTTTCTGTCAAATTGCTGTCTGTAGCACATGCATTAGACAGCAACTACAATACATGACATATGCATTCTTCATACTCAGCAACTACAATACATGACATATGCATTCTTCATACTATTTGCATAGATTGGAGTTTATGCACTTGTTCTGCACCAATCCATTTTTCTTATGTTCCTTTCAATGCTCACTATAGCTGCTTTTTTTTTTTTTTTTTTCAATGAGTGACATTTCTCTAAGGTTAGGTTTTATAAATGTAAAAAAGATTTTGGTTTTGCCTTTTCTAAGATTACATGTGGGTGTCAGTAGTGTGAGCTGTGCAATATAAACATTTTTTTCCCCTGCTATTAAATACGAATATTTACTCAGGTAAAGGCAAAACATAACATTTTTGTTTCTACTGTTCTTTCTGGGCTCATTAAATATTTTCATGATGGGCTCCAATATTTAAGGCATTGTTCCAAGAGTAGTGACCTGATGATCTGATGATCTTCCCCCTCTTCCCCTTCCCCCATGAGTAGTGCCCTGCTAATCTTCCCCCCCCCCCCAAAAAAAAAACAAACAACAAACAACCAAAAAAACAAACAAACAAAAAACACACACACACACCAACAGACAATACAAAAACATGTTATAACAATGATTTTTGTCATCTTCCAATATAAATTCTGTATGGAGCCTCCATTCTTGCTTCCACAATTTTAATGCCTGCCCAAGGATTTTGTCTGAAAATTCACCATTCCTGATGGCTGGCATCACTCCATGCTGATGATTTCCTTTGTTTCTTGCCCATGTTTCTTTGTTTCTTTGTAAATCATATTCTCCTTGTTATTGTGGGTCTCACAAGATTAACCTCTGCAGGCATCTTCCATATGTCACATGCTGAGTAGAAACATAAGAAAACACCAGATTTCTTAATTAAAATAGTTCTAGATTTATAAAACTGGAACAGAACTTCTGCCTTGACAATTCAGTGTCCGCAGATGGTAAAGACTACATTTAAGGGCCTTTGATGCTATTAACCTTTTGCTGCCCCAGACAACACCTTCAAGTGCAGCTTTCATAGCTGTGGGAGCCGCTGCCAAGATGGCTCTTCACAAAAGCCAGAGCAAGCATCAGTGGAGGTGGATGAACTCTTCTGAGGAGCTACATCTGCTCCAGGAAGGTACCCTTTGAATATATAGACTACACTGGGTGGTGGAGTTTCAACTGTGAGGAACTGTGAGGCTGTGACAAGAACGGAGAGGGTGTCTCCCACTTTGTAAGTCAAGGCTTAATTTTGAAGTAGACTCTCAACAACAAGTTAGGGAAGAACTTTCCTTGGGAATAGATTTGCCTATAAATGCTTTTAAACTACTTTGCTGAGACCAAACTGACAGTAATTTGTTGCTCAGCAGGTGAAGGGAAATGCTGTTACAAAAGTCTTTGCTCTGGGAGAAGATGGACTCAGGTGCTAGACTGCTGCATTATTTTTTATTATTATTATTATTATTTTCATTCTTTCTAACTTTAGGTGATTAGTTGGTATCTGGGGGAAGTGCTTTTGCAAAAGGATGAGGAAATATAATTGTTCTTTGTTGCAATTCTGTCTATGTACAAGGAATATTTACAGACTACCGTTTTCCTTGAATACTATAAGAAGTAAACATGGGAGAGTTTTAGTACTCTCCTTGGACAATGATCTACCATAACCACCTCTTTTTTTGCTTAATTTCTTTCTTAAAATCACCTTACCTGCTCTCTAGTTGTCTCTGGGATTTTTCTGCCGCCTGATCTATGTGTGCATGTGGTTTTGACTGTTCTCCACTGAACAGTGATCATTGCCTTGAATTTGCTCTTAATCCCCAAGGAAAATTGCAATGGTTAGTTCTTTTTCTAGACATCTGTTTTGGGTGCTGACTTTTAGTGTTTCATCTGTTCCATGGAAGTGTTGTAATCAGTTTTACATTTAGCCTACTACTTTATATTTGACAAAATGTGACTCCTAAGTTCAACATTACTATCAGATAGCTTTGCTGTCCCTATTTGTAGATGCTAGTGTTTACTGTATGTTATCAAGCTGAAGTTCTCCTTTTCCCCACATAATGTTTTGCGTGTTTTGTACACAGACTCCACATTTCAGAATAGAAAAGAATTCACACTTAAGCTCACGCAAAGAAGATATTTAGTTTTCCCAGGTTTCTGGGTGGGTTGCTAAAGCAAATCATATCTATTAGTTTTAAGAAGACCCCTCAGATATTTGAACCTGACCATTTTTCCTGCCAGCAACACATGGCAAGAGAATTAAATAAGTTAAATTGCAGAAATATTTAAGATCTATTTTAGCTAAAGCCTTTTCGTAAGATGTTTGTGTGCCAAATTATATCTGGAGTAAACTTCTACAGGCAAATGCTAAATCCAGAGCAAGGGGTACAGAAAGAAGTGTAAAGGGAAATAAAATAGAAAGACAGACCCTTAGCAATAATGAACATTGTTACAAAGAACTTTATGGTATTAACTTAGATAATTGCCAGAGTTGTAAAATCCAGATTTTTCAGTCTGCAACGTTCCTGGGAGGTGGTGGAGTTGAAGAAAATCGAAAGTAATGGTTCATATATAATTCAGAATTTTATTTCTTTTCACCATTCTCAAAAGAGTAAACGTGACCTACTTTCTATATGGTGTAGTTTAGTGGGAAATTCCCCCAACTCCCCGTGTTAGCTTGCTTGTTCCTTTCTTAAGCAGGTGCTAACTCCCATCTCTGCTTTACTACTGCTGGCATACTATGTGCTAAATGTGTTGTGACATTCTTTCCTCTCAGTTTACAGAGAAGATGGTTGTGCTCTTTCCCAGATTCCAGTTTTGTTAAGCTTCTGGGATTAATGTAGGATCAAAATTAATTTTCTGCATGTTAGCTGTCAACCACAGTGAAATAATTAAATAACAAGCTCTCCTCTAAGAGTTGTGCTTTTATTATTGCAATCATTACTTGTAATGATGGTTTAGAAATGGAAAAAAAATGTGCAAAAGCACCTGTATAAAAACTCACCACTTCTTGTTTATTTGTCAAAATGCATGTTTGGAATAAAATAGGAAATTTGCATTAGAAATCATAGAATCATAAATGGTTTGGGTTTGAAGTGACATTAAGGATAATCTGATTCCAACCCCCCTGTCATGGGCAGAGACACCTCCTATTAGATCAAGTTGCTCTGGCCTTAACCTGGCCTTAAACACCTCCAGGGATGGGGCATCCCCAGCTTCTCTGAGCAATCTGTTCCAGTGCCTCACCACCTCATAGATTAGATATATGAAAGCAATTCTTTACTAAATCTACCCTCTTTTAGATTAAGGCCATTATCCCTTATCCTGCCTCTACATCTGTGACAAATTTTTCCTCCCTGTCTTTTCTGTAGCCCCTCTTCATATATGTTAAGGGTACCGTAAGGTCTCCCCAGAGCCTTCTCTTCTCTGGGCTAAACAGTCTCAACTCTCTCAGCTTTTCTTCATAGAATAGGTGCTCCAGCTAGAGAGCTGGATCATAGACCTCCTCTGGACATGCTCTAGCAGGAACCGGGTGCAGGACCTTGCATTTGGTCTTGTTGAACTTCATGAGGTTCACATGGACCCACCTCTCAAGACCTTGAAGGTCCCTCTTGATGGCATCCCCTTCCTCCACTGTGTTGACTTCATTACCCTGTTTGGTGTCATCTGCAAACTTGCTGACGGTCAATGAACCTGAAACTCAAAGATGAGCCAGTACCAGCTCCATTGTAAGGCTGGTTTTGAGCTGGAAGAATTTCAGTCCAGAAGACTTGTTCCAACCCATCTTTACCACAAACAGGGAGCAATCTAAAAAATCTGAGAGAGGAAAATAAGGAAATTGGACCTAAGGTTACAAGTCAAGCTTGTCTCCTTATACTTTACGTTGCTACAGAAGTATGTTAGAGAGAGGATGGAATGAAACATAGCTTTGTTTCTGCCCCCTCAGAAGAGCCAATATTTAGTCTGGTGGATCTAGTCTTATATAGAGGAGAAGGGAAGAAATTAAATGAGTTCTGCTGTCAGTGTATTAAGCTCATTCACACCTGTGGAGATTCTTCAAATTTTTCAATTATTTTCCCAGTATATTATTCCATCATAAATGGAGAGAGAATAGGATCATGTTAGCCCTCTTTTTCTCAAATACATATTCAGTGGACCTAAAGGAGATGATGGAATATATGGTTGAGAGTGTTCTACTTACTTTTCCTAAGAAGAGTCATGACACAATTTGATTGTCAGATGTATGCAACAAGCAAAATGAAATCATATTTCTCCATTAAATGAAATGTATCCTTTTAGAACTGTTTGCATGGAATGATTTGAAAAATAAGCATGGTTCTCTTTAGCCATAGTTTATTGTTCATTTATTTGAAGTAAGCAGTTTCTTTCAGCTGCAGACATTAGACCAGTGAGCAAGAAGGCTTGTTCATATATTTTTGTTTTACTTTTATGATCCAAGTGTTAGGAGCTGGGAATTTGGATCCAAATGGGATGAATTTACGTATGCAGGACACGTTGTTCAAGGAGCTAATACTTACAGTAAACAGAGGTTGCTTAACTGTTGAGTAATGCTACAATAGTTATTTCCAATATTTTGCAAGAAACAATGTTCATGCAATGTTTTACCACTAGCAATTTGCTGGTGGTTTTAATTCCATGCCAAACAAATCTCTAAGGGCTGCAATTTCAAAAACATGGAGTATCACACATTGGGAACTACACTCTCTTTCTACTTTTGTAAGGTAAGCCATATATGGAAGAGATACAGCTTCTTTTCTTCTCTTAAAGTTACTTTAATATCTAAATGGTAAAAATATCCTTGTGACATCATGTATAATCAATTCCATGCATTGAAAAGAGATAAGGGTGCATTCAACTTATATTACAGGTAATTCTACTTTAAAAAAGTCTTTCTATCAAGAATATAACAGATCACTTCAAGACAGATATAGTCTGAAGGGGCCATATGTACCTTCTGTTTTATCAATGTTCAGGTGTTTACATTATAATGAGTTCAAACCTAGCAGTACAAAAAATCTATACCATATTAGGAAGTACTTTTTGTCTGAATTCTTTGAACAATATATTTTATTTATTGTGATGAAGATAAGAGTGGAAACAAGTTTAAAGTGCTTGAAAACAAATTATTTTTAAAGCACCCATGGATCTCTCTCTCTCCAGATCCTATTAACATTCATAATGTTCCCCTATTTAGTGTACTTCACTGTAGCAATACATTATTGCTAGAAGTTTTCTTTTGACTGGTAATAGGTTGCCATAGTCTAGTGGAGCTCAGACTTAGTAACCACTCTTACTAAATCAATTTCTTCCCTTTGAGATAAACACATGTTCTTATTTTACAGATGGAGGACTAAGGGATAAAGAGGACAGATGGTCTTTAAAACATCTTCTTGTGGTCATCTAAGTGGCAGAAGGAAGCTGGAGATTTTAACTCATGCTTTTCCTTTCTCTACTCTTTGCCATTTATAAAGGTATGCACACCTATATATAAATACATACAGATTTAGATGTCTGTATTGAAGGGAGATACAGACTTGAAACAGATTTAATTAAACTCTACTGTTCATTAATCAGAGTTTTGAGTCCAGAATACTGGAGACTAAGCATGAATATTTTGAGGAGAAACTAGTTTTCCAGTTTTTCTGCCACCAGTTTCATAAGTTTCTTTACTGTTGCAATCCTATCATTGCCACTTTCTTTAAAAATAATGTAAGATCATTTTGGTCTGAAGTAAGAAAATTCATGTGTATTTATTTATGTGGTGTAATGCTGTGCATACTGAAATACATACATAATTATTTTCCTAAACACATCTACATTGTATTAACTGTCAGCAGTTTTTATGCAGTTCTAAACAGATTGGTCTTTGGTTCCTTCACTTTGTTAAGGCAGTCTGATGAAAACTTTAGGTGGCCCTTGGGAAGGGTTGCTTCCAATTTGAACTTGTAGTTTAAGGTATGAGGTACATCAATTTGGTTATTATTTTTTATAATATAATTTATATTTATAATTAAGTTTTTATCAAACTCACCTCAAATTAGCATTCACTTGTGAAAGTAATTATATTAGTAGGTCTTTTCCTCATTTCCTTTCTCTATTATTTAGTCTTAAATTCCTTGATAAGTAGTAGCAGAGCTGGTATCAAAAAGTGTGGCTACATCCGTGCATTTAAGCACACAAAAATCCCACCAACCAACCAACTAACCTACCAACCCAAAATAACTATTTAAGTATTTCTCCCTCTAGAGTCTGCTTTACAGACAATATCTGTCTTCAAAATACAATATGTCTAATGTTCCTTGGTGAAACATACACAGGAGAAGACTGGCTTTTCATTGAGATATCAAGGTACGTGTGGGGGTACATGAAAAAAATACTGAGAACAGTTTGCCAGGCTCCTTTTCCATAGGATGCTGGTTAGCATAAAGTTAAGTATACAGTGGTCACAGTAGAGTAGACTATCTGTTCTTAGTTGTGAAAAATGGTCTGACATCTTGTCTTTGGTATGAGGCTAAATAGGAAGCAAAGGAAAATACAAAATAAAAGAGCAGAAATTAGTGTAAGAAGGAAGAGGGTTAGAGGCATGAAGAGGAGCCAGGTTGAGAGGAGGAGGTGGTGGTGCAGAAGTGAAAATAATACTTCACTAAAGATAGTATATGAAGATGAATGGAGTGAATTGAGCAAACTGGACAGAACACTGATAAAACTGGAAACTAATTCCACTACTGTGGAATTAAATAACATGCTAAGAATGAGGAAAGCCACAGGAGAAAGCAGATAAAAGAAAGGTTGCAACAGGGGTGCATGTCCCTGAGGAAATGCTTTTTATGCTGATTTATACACATTTTCTCTGGTGTGTTTCACTGTTTATTGCTCTTCAGAACTGATAACTTTTTGATGGTTGGAAGTCATAATATTTTGTTCTATGAAGAAAAATTTGCTTACGGGATTTCATGGACCTATTCTGTGTACCATTATTTATCTTTAACCAGTTCTTCTTACTGCCCTTAAGACCTAAGTATTGCTGGTTTATACAGCACCTCCTAAAGGAACACTCAGCATGAACAAGCTATAAAACTATACTACAGAGTTTGCCAACCCCTCAACTTAGTTTTGAACACTTTGGTTTTAGGATGAAAAGAGAAGAGTATACTCCATTATTTAGGAGTAACTGGAACATCCATCTTCACAGTTTTGTTTGTTTGTTTGTTTGTTTTTGTAGAAAAGAACATTTGTTTCAGATATGAAATGAAAGGATAATATTTGAGAGTCATCTACGGGCTCCTTTAATATACAGGAGCATGAGTAAACTCAAGGAGCACTCACAGAGCATTGCATTGAAACTTTGTGTCAGAGAAATTTCCAAAGCAATGCTTGTAGATTATTTGGAAGTGAGAAAGCAGAAACCATTCCAACTAAAAATCATTGTCTTCTCTCCAACAAATATTATGAATAGTTCTGGTGATACTGCATTCCTAGACACCATGAACAGTAACAAGTATCCATATTTGCATTTCTAAACATTTAAGGACACTTAACACTTCTCATTCTAGAAGAAGGGAGGTGCATGCAATGAAGCCGTTTCAATATCCACTTTGGAGCTACACCCATATTCACCAGTAAACTGTGCTTGGACCAGGACAGCTGTGACTTTCTATGTAAATAGAAAAGCTGGACAGGAAAGAGAAAAAAAATACAGAGCAGAAATATAAATGACAGGTGAAAATTTGCAAAGATGTTTATCTCCAATAGGAGTTGCTAGGAAGCGATGTGTTAGATTTAATTGCCTATAAGTTGGCTAAAATTCAATTCTGGGTAGAGAGGATACATCTAAATACCCTGATGTATGATGACAAAACAAATTTACTTGGCATATATACAATGATTAGTGGTAAAATTACTCTTAAAACAGCTGGTCATCTGGTTTTCCTGGGTTGTATGTAAAGTTTAAAAAAAAAAGTCTAAAATTTCACCATTTTGCTCTTGAAAATGGATGACCTTCTCTTTTCATTTTCTGAAGGTGAGTGTATGTGAATGAGATAAGCTGGAATGTCATCTTGCAATATGTCATCTACGGCATGGTGATTTCCCATATGCAGCCTGTTTCCCAGCAGTAAATGCAAACTGAATGGAAAGAAACTTCTCCTTGCTGGAAAGTACCTTGCATTTACAGCAGGAGTAGTTGATATGCTATAAGATCCCTGCTGTGTTTTACTCCTTACTCTCTGGAATACTGTAAGAGGGGAGAAAATATGAAGAGTCTTGAAATTTAGAGACAATTATCCTTCCCAAGTTTTGCGTGGTTCTCAGGATGGTGAGTAATGGGTTGCTTTTCTGCACAGCAGCACAGCTGTACAGCTACTGGATTTGCTTCAACAAAACATCAACTTTTCAGAGAAAATTGGCTTCAGGGAGATAACAGATGTACAAAAGAAAATTGGGAAAGGATAATTCTTAACATCTTTGTATTTTGTTTACTAGACACTTTTAAAGGGAGAAAAAGCCTAAATGTTATGGCAAGTTGCTATTTTTGCCCTTATAAACTAATTTTATAACCATTTGCTCATATTATTGCAGCACCACAGATAAGAGTGCTGTTGTTGCAGCTTTGCTAGATCACATACAACCTTCCTCTTCCAAGCACTTGTGTCTTTGGTACTATTTAAATGGCAACAAAAGCTGGCACGCATCTATGGCTTCACTGCTTGTTCTTTTGAAGAATGAGAAAAACTCTGGTTAACTCTTCTCTTTGGTCTATTGTTTTTGTTTGTTTGTTTGTTGGTTCATTTTGTTTTGTTTTGTTTTTCAATGACAATTGCAGACATTTTGCTAGAGAGAATTATGCTTCAGTCTCTCTCTGAATTTTATTTCTGTTTGATAACAAAACACTCCTTTTGTGTTTTGTGTTTGTTGCATTATGCTAGCATTCATGGACACTAATTCCCAAACATGGGCTTGTTATTCCTGCTTGGGGATACAATCACAGAAATATAAAAGACAGAGGAGTTATGAGTTTTGACACAATTCCAGAAATGTTAGAAAAGGAGAGGTCATGATGCCCTTTCAAGTGAGGTGGTGAGTGGAAATGTTTGGGACCTACTGTTCCAGGAAACCTGTTGTCCTCATCAGAGGAGCTGTTTGTGGGCACCATATAAACACATAACAAAAAGCTGACTCCTGTCCTGGAAAGCTTGTTGTCTAATTTGCAACTTCTTTTAGCAGCAACTGTCCACAATAAATCTCAAAAGGTTGCTTTCTGTCAACAATTCATCTGGGCTTTCACTGAGGCAAACGTGGAACACCAGCAACACTGAAGTCTGCCTCTGACCTAAACATACTATTGCATGTTTGCTGCAGAAATAGCTACAATAGCCCTACATACTGTCTCTGACAGTGTCATTGAAGTCTATGCCTACAGAGGTATGTGAAGGTGGGGAAGGAGGCAGTTATACTTCCCAAGAATATTCTCCTGGTCAACAATTTGCAGGTAGGAGGTTTCCTAACCCAGGGGTAAAGACGTGGTATTGAGGTGACTTTGTCTCAGTGGATTTATCTTCCATAAACTTGTCTAGTTTTCCTCTGAACCTGTGTGAACTGATAGTATTGAGTATCTGGTATACAGTGTCCCACTGCATAATTATGTATTATGGGAAAATTTTCCCCTCTTGCTTTTTTTTGAGGCTGGCACCTGCTAGTTTCAAGTGTAAGTCCATTTTTTATGACAAGCTGTAGTCTTTTGGGATGACCTCAAGTAAAAGATACAATCAAACACCCACTATTTTATTACAAAAGTGTTGAAGTCAGGAAAAGTCACTAGTGATGGCAAAAAAAAAAAAAAAAGAAAAAAGAAAGAAAAAAAAAAAAACAGGAACAAAAAGCACTATTGTTCTGCCTAGAAGCCCCCATGTACATAGTGAGATAGTCTCTTTGCCGACAACTCTTAGAACACAAGACAGTCTGGGAGCAGTGAAATTTGCCTGTTTATAGGAAACTGGATTTTTGACATCCGGTGGTTCAAGAATTATGTCAGACCACGTTTTTGCTCTGTTTTTTTTTTTTTTTTTTAGATAGGGTATGTCTACAACATGTTTACAGGAGTGATTTTAATTAATTTACACAGAATTCTATGCTGCTGCTTACATGCTGTACAGTTTAGCTGTACAAATGACCTGCTTATAGCAAGCAGCAGTCTTTCTTCTCCTCTGAGGTTTGCCAGGTAAACACACACATTAACTTGCACAGTAGTCTTCATTTGCTTCATTTTTTGCTGTTGTTTGCCAGTTTGAATGAACAAACAGAAACAGAACAAATGCTTAGACATTCATATATCTTGGAAATAAATCTTTACATAGTTTACAAACAAATAATTTCAAATGAATGCTTAAAATAACTATTAAATAAGTCTTCGTTTTCATGCTGGGCTGAGGTTTTCTTCCACATCTGTAGTAAATTGTCCGAAGGAACATTGACTCAAAGAACTGGATTGTCTTAGTAGTATGGTTAGGGTCAATGAAGGAGTCATGAAAAAGGAGTACTGTAATTTTACAGTTGATCACAGGAAAAAAATGGTCTTACATGTTTCAGAAAATAAAATGCATAAAATTACTTTCTTTAGCAGGATCTGTAGTTTCACTAAGTCTTCTGCCACCCTTTAAGCAGACTATCTTCTATGTCTGAAGGGATCCTATAAATGGACAGAAAGTTATGAAATAGAAAAATGGTAGAAATATATCTGTCAGAAAGTGTCAGCTGGACAATTTTTCAGGAAGTGATTGATGGTTAAAGTTTCTGTATTATGCATATTAATTCCAGTTGACTTTTGTAGCCTAGATTCAACTTTCATATTACCCAGTGTGGCCTAATGTGCAAACTGTCCCTTAGCTACATAAGGGATCATGTAGTACCAATTCCTGCCACCTTTCCTCTCTGAGTTGCATAAATAATTGTTCTTTATGAATTTTCCTTTGCCATTATTTTATTTATTTATTTTTTAAGGGGTAGAGACTACTGCTGTCTTCCTGGGTGTTGTGGGAAGAGCTCAATTACTCTGATAGAAATCAAGAAAACCTACATTATAGAAGAATGCTTTCCATGGAATTATCTTACAAAGTATGTATGCGTCTCATGTGAGTGCTTCTTCACCTCAAGGCAGATTCTGTATAAAACAAAAGTCCAGTGAAAGCACAATTTCAATAGCCTGATTATAGACTAAGATTTGCATGAAATAGGACATGTTAAAATAACTGGGAAGAGTAAACCAATATGAACCAACCTTCTTAAAAAGGGAGAAAAATATATAGTCATCTGGGATAATAGTTGTATAGGGAGAGAGAAATGAACCAAATTAAAAACTGTATTAGTCTTGCAACTATTCCAAAGAATAGTGATGATTATAGAAAATAGCTAAACAGCTATGGGAGTTAGGTTCTGCTCTGGTATTTGTGTCCATCTGTGGTATTTCTGCACATGGCCGCATATAACTACGGCCAGTGAAGTCAGCTCTTTGGAAACATCTCTAGAAAAAGGCGTTCCGGTGCTGTGTGAACTAATGTTGTTTCATGATTTCTGTCTTGCATTGTAAAAAGGCAGTGACCAAAGAAATAGAGGAATGGAATAAACCTGATTTTCAGTGTTAAGATAGACAGATAAAGAAGAAGTACCTGACCTACAATATATTTTGAAAAAAACAAGCTATACTTATTCAAGAATTAAATATTGTATGCATCTCTGTTAATAGAAAGCAAATCAATCTTTATCTGTTGTGGCCATTGTTTTTGTTCTAAACTGCTCACTTTTCTTCAAGCATTTCTCTCTGTGTTGTTTTACCATCTGTTTATGAATATAAGTAAATATTGTTATTGTAAAGATACTCTCTAGTCTGGCCGGTAACGTGTGATCCAAATTAAATCCTAGCTCTCTAGGGAGCTGCTGATTTTTAGTGGTTCTGAGTATGTGAGACTGAGAGTGTGTATGAAAACCACAAACCACCAAGGTATTTTTTATTTTTGCTTTAGAGAACCTGCCCCTACATGGGGAGGGGGTGCTAGAAATCTGGGTGCATGAGGTAAGTGTATGGAAGTTCTGCTTACATATGGAGTGAATTAGGAAAGGCTGAGAGAGAAAAATACTACATTTTCCAGTGTCCATCATTATGAAAGTGGAGTAAGTGTTAAGCAGCTGCCAACTTCACATACAGATCAGAATACTGACAGTAAGCTTGTCATCTTAAGTTGCTTATTTTACCAATATGTTTCTCTTTGTTCTTGATGGGGGGAAAATTTTAGGCAATCTCAAATATATTAAGTATTGAAGTTTGAATGGTTTAGATGGAAAATTTAGCCACGTTAATAGTGTATCATCTTTTTTATATTAAGGAAAAAATAATGGCAAAGGTTACAGGACATAATTTAAATATAACCAAGTTAAATAAGGACAGAGTGGTCCCATGATAGGAAAAGAATTAGCCCAAGACAGCTTGAGAGGAAACAAAGCCACGGCGGATCTATTTCTGCATCTGTAAATAAATACAAAATGAACCACTCAAAATTGACCTGAGAGACACTCCTTGGTTTTGGAGGAGATAATTCACTGGAAATGTCAGCATAACAACAGGAATATGTCAGGTGTGAGTGAAAAAATAAATGAGCTCTTAAATAGGAATCAGAAAAAAAAAAAATTAAAATAGCATCAGCAGTATATGTAATGATGTCCTTTATGCCTATAATCACTTACATGATATAATCCTGTCAGTAAAGGAAAACAGGGAAGATTTTCTTACTTTTCTACATTATTTTACAATAAGAAATTAGACCAATTTTCCAGATGTCTCTGTTATGTATCCAGTTGGGCAAGCCAAAAGGGTATTCTGCTGTTTCATTGAATAGAGTCCTTTGTAATTTAAACACAATACTTTTATTAAGCATTTGGCACAGCGGCTACCTGAACTGATGTAGACAAAGCAGATGAAAAATATCCAAAATTAATGTCATGTGTTTTGTGTTCAGAAATATTTTCTTCATTGAAGTATGAAATGTTACTGTGAACTGAAATAAAATCTTAAGATAGCAATATCTAGGACTTAATTTCCAAAGTTTTAGAATGCAAAATGTGTGCAAAACATATTTTGTGAACAATCAGATAATTCCAATATAAATAATGAAACATATCTCAATGAAATTACTGGAGATCAAGTGAAGCTGTTCCCAAATGATTAAAATGCAATTGCACAATTTGAAGCAACACTGAGAGTGGAATCAGACTGTGAACCTTGTGAAAAGAGAAATATTCAGAAGTTTTAAACAAATAAACACAGTCTTGAATCAATGCAGTTTGGACTCTTATCCAAAGGTACCCCAAACTTTGGAGCTATATGATGATAGTATACCATCCAGATAACTTCCCTGATTCAAACTGCTGTATAATTAATATCCATATTATGAACCCTATGTCCTCTCCTCTGGGCAGCAGAAACAATTTCAACTGTATACCCTGTGTACTGGCTAAAAAGAAATCATTTCATTTACTCTCTTAGCTCCAAAGTTAAACTCAAAGTGCTAAAATAAAAAAGTGTTTTCACTAAATATAAACCAGCCTTTCCACTAGCTCTTTTATGTTTTTGCTTTCTTAATATTTCTCAGTATTTCTCTTGATTTGGCAGGTAAGCCTGTTTATACAAGCGCTGACCATGGTTACCTTCCATTGGTTTTACTTCTGCAGGAGCTAATCAGAACTTTATAGAATCAGGCTTTTCACTTACCAGAGTTATTTTAACTAAAAGAGAAATGAAGAGAAAGAGAAGGAGAAAGAAAACTTGAAGTTTTTTGTTTGCTTGTTTTGCTTTGTTTTTAAACAAATGTATTTTAAAGTATATTTGCATAATGACAGCATTCTTATTTAAGGCTTTTTAGAAAACAAACAAGCAAAAAAAAAAAAAAGGAAAAAAAAGAAAGAAAAAACAAGCTTGTATTAATCTGCAAAACTCCCGCTATGAAAAGCAGCACTCCAAGATCTGGTAGTTTAAACATGCTAATGTAGAATAGCTGTAGTTTAGAAATGGAAGCCTGTGAGATTCAGCCTCCTGTTGCTTCCTGAATCACTGCTCTGATCTACAAAATCTAGCATTTAAAGTTTCTAGTTTCAGCTTTATCTGAAGCACTTCAGTGTACAATTTATATGGGAAAAGTACATATCATCTAATAACACAAAAACTGACAGAACTGATTTTGTTAAAAAGTAAGCAAAAATTACTCTGGACTGAACTGGAATATGGAAAGTATTAGCACAAGCACAGTTTGTTTTAGTACTACAATTATAACAAGTCTGCAGCCTTCATATACTCAAACTGACATCCATCTGGAATGACTTTTCCAGAAAGTATAGTATGGCACAGAAAAGACTAACATGTGTAGGTATCCTCACCAGTGGCATGCTGAACAATGAAACATGGTTTAGTTGTTTGGTAGTTTAAAAAAGAAAATGCTACAGACATGAGTCTGCTTCTCTTTGCTACATTCATCCAGGAGGTTGGACACTACATCACAATGTCTAGTTTAAATGTGTGTCTGGTGTCCATCATTAACATGGTTCTATCTTACATCATGGTATAAAGCGATCTTGTGATTTGTAAATACTTTCCCCAGATTAAACGTAATCATGAAAGTTACCAAGAATACTTTAAATCATCATGATTATATAGATTCTAGTCTTTGTGTGTATACATGATATACGTAATTAGAGCAATACTCTACATTCAAACCAATTGCAATCATGAAATTACTCTTGCCCATTAAACTGTACAAGGGGGATCTGATTACATCCTTTTTATTTTTAATATGAGTTCCTTGTAATTCCCAAGATCTCAAATGCTTCAAACCAGCTGTAGCAGTAGGACTTTTAATTATACTGTTTAGTTAGTGACATATAGCTTCTTAGTCTGAATTAGTCCTGGGCAAACAGATAAGAGTAAAGTGAACTAAAAAACTAAATGCAAAAAAGCTGTGGACAGAACTGAATGCCTTGATTTAAAACACTCTCCTAGCAGTTTTTCTGTATGTTGCTATGGTATATATATGTATATATATATATATATATTTATTACAGACTTTCTGAAGTGACAGATGTCCTTTCAAGTAGCTTTCCTGTGCTTTCACCTTTAATTTTGAAAAATAAGTTTTTGATTTCTAATTTATTTCTGTACACTGAAAAAGGCAATTCATTGTCTTCCTGTAGTGATTGCAATCCATTCCGAATAAAAATACAGCTGGACAGAACCTTTTCTAGGGAAGGGTCTAGCCTGCATTTATTATAATTTGTCATTAAGCAGCTTCCTGTTGTTGAAAAAATAAACATGAAATTCTTGAACTAGCTGAGAAATTAATGAAAAGTGTATTTGATGAACTGTATTTTTATTTTCTTTTGAATTTAAATTTGGAAAATATGCACACCTTTAATTTTGAAATAAGCTGTGCCATTATAAATATGCCAGTTCCCTTAATTGCACAGGAAATACTTGATGTACTTTTACTTATGGTAGAGAATGTTATTGGTTATTAGTATCTTACAGTGAGATGATCTGAACCTTATTTCCATCACAGTGTCAGTTCTGTGCCATAGATGTTTTTAGAAAGTGAACAATAGAAGTATACCAAAAGTGTCAAAGCAAGACTGTCTTAAATTTTGCTCTTTGCAAACGGCATTTCTAACTGCACAGGCTAATTTGTTTGTTAACTGCATATTATCAATAGCTAAAATTTCAACAGACCCTAATCTTGGTGCTTCTCAGGTCAGTAGCACTTTACATAACCATACAGCTTCTTTGAAACAAGGAGCAACTTGGGGCAAGAATCCAGGACAGTTGCAAAAGCATGGATTGTTTTGTCTCGAAGTAGTTGAGTAGTTGCTGAATATGATTTTTCATAATCATCTGTGTTTCTAAGTTCACATTATATCTGCTAACTTTCTCTTTCTTTCATACTCAGGATTAAACTAATTGTTCAAAGAGACCTCACAAATCTCTGATGACGTCCTTAATAAACCCCTGAGTGTGAGAAGAAATTTGAAGATTTATTTTTAATATCAACATTTTGCAGGAAATAATCTTTATATAATTTAGTCCATGCTCCTATATAGCAGAAGTTACATAATTTAAACTAGTTACTCATGGACTGAGCGAAATTACCTTTGATTAGAAGTTGTAGTTCAGAAAGGCATCTAGTCTTGATTTAAGAATGCAAAGAGGTGAAGAATCCATGCCAGGCTAGTTTGCTCTAGCAGTCATTGTCCTCTGTATCTCTACAGACACTGCCTGAACAATCACTTTCTGCTCATGCAAAGTATTCCAACACTTGCTCTATGATTCAAGATATCTGTGTAGAGTCAGTTGACAGAAACTGTGGCACCATTACATGGAAAACCTCAAGTCCTTTGAATGGAAATATTGTGGATGAAATAGATCATTTACTTCAACAAAAACCCTCTTAAAGACTTACTTCGCTTCAAAAGAGGACTGAGAAGATGTATCAAACTCTCCCTGAATAAGAAATGCAAGAAGTTCCTTCTAGGGCAGTTCAGTACAAATATCTAGCCTAGATGCATTGCATCTCTGCTGCTGCAGAAACCTGTCTGTCTGAACCACTAATAATATGTGTCACAAGTAGCTAATTTAGGTAGCTAACTCAAATCCTTGTGTTGGGATTGTTTGTAAAAATACTCACAGCAGTGGATTAAACACATTCCTCTGACAGAGATTGGTAAGTTTTTGTTGTTGTTGTTTTGTTGTTTTAGCATTGCAAGATAAATTTCATGAGTCTGATCTAGGGAAAGAAGGAAGGAAAATGCAGACTTTGCAATTGCAGTTGAGAAGGAACAAAAATGATTTAGTTTACTTACCAGTACTATTCTAGCCTCCTTAAAATTATAAATTAAAAGTTAGATTAAAAGTTAGCTTGTACAATTAAAAAGCCAAATTTATTATTCTTTGATTTTATTACTGTAATAAAAATGATAACAGTTTTCTCAAAAACCAGGTGTTCAACCTGATGTTCATCATTTCAAAGGAATGAACAATGGCTAATCTCAGCACCAAAATTTGAACTTTATGTAATACTCATGACCAGACACCAGGCCATCAAAGTGTGAGAGGGGCACCTTTACAAACTCATAAATCTAGGCTACATAAATGCTTATATGCTGGGTCCCACTGAAAAACACGATTCCTGCATAGTGTCTATGTTCTCTGTGTCCTCTTTCGCTTCCTTGGATGCTAGCGCCTGCTAGCTGGCTGAACTTATCGCCTCTCTTGGATCTGCCCTCAGAAATAAACATGCCCCGGCTCTTATTTCTGGCAGAACTCTAAGGAAACCTGGACACAGTTTGCAGTGATCAGAAATCTGCTCAGATGGCAGAAAAACAAAAACAAGACAATTTGGGATAAAGAGTCCATGTAGAGCCCTGTTTTAACTGTTGTTCTTCAGTTCTTGATTTATTTTACTCCTGGTACACTTTGCTCTTGGTTCTGTCAAGAACTCAGGGGCAAGAAGGCCAACTCCTGAAGGCCCACTTAATTCAGCATCTGTGGTCTAACTGATCAGAGTTACGTAAGATGAACTTCAGCATAACATAACCAGTCCCAACTGAAAGGTACGTTGCTGCACAACATATGCAAAATACATGATCATAGGAAGGATTAACAAATTGCTTGGCTTCATTCTTCAATTCTATAATCTCTTCCATGTGGGAACATCTCCACACCCAGGCAGTACCCCAGTGGCCTCCATGAAGTTCTGTGCTCTCTTGTTGTGGCTCTGTGCATCAAGTGGCAACATTAGGGATTGTCCTTGTCAGGACTTTTTTCTAAAACATTTGTTTCCACAGGCAATTTTGTGGGTCTTTAGTGAGATGGAGGGAGAAGTCTGAAGAAGAAGAGAATGAACTTGGATTTGTGCCAGAACATGTGGTAGATAGTAGTAGTCTGATTTCTACAATGGAGGTGTTGCAGCCAATGAACTCGGTATTTTTCCTATTAATGAATTTTAAGGTTGGCAAGAAGCTGAGTAGACAAACACAACAAGCGTAGCTAGGAATATTAACTCTGTTAATATTGTTGTATTTCTCCTCTCCATGTCCCAGTATGTATACAAAAACCCCTCTGTTTCTTTTCAACTCTATGCAGATTAAACCAAGAGATGATAAACACCTATAAGTGACCAGTTTGGCAACACCAGAAATGCTATATCCAGAGATAATTTTATTCTTAAACTGAGTTATGTGTGGCACACTGCAAATTAATGATTTAGGCCATGAAAGAAAAAATAAGATAAAAAAGTATTTCGTGTTGTCATTCAGCCACATGTGTTTCAGAACACATTGTGTTTTAGAATCACTGGATGCAATTTTTCTTAATGACACCTGCTGGGAAGACAGAAAGTGGCAGGGGAAAAAAAAAAGTAGTTTAAAAAAATGTAATTCTCTCAATATTTTCCAGAGTGGCATGTAACTAATCTCAATTAATTAATTAATTAATTTTTGCAAGGTACCGATTTCAAATAAAAAAAAAAAATCAACATCCATGTTGATTTTACTTAGGGACAAGAAACTCCCCTCCCCTCCTGTGCCCTCCTCTCCTCTCCCCTCCCCTCCTCTCCCCCTTTTTTTTCAAGCTCTTCAACTTTGCAAAGTCTGCTGAATGAAGGCAGAACTTGTTTGTAGTAGTCTTGTTCAAGTTTGTGAAGGCTTCCATTAGAACTACTGAAGAAAGATAAAATGTTTTGCACATTTACCATTGTGTATTGTTATAGTTCTAATTTCAGCCCCAATATATTTGCTTTGCATTTGTGCTTTGAGTTGGTTTCACTGATGAAGACATAATAAATTATACATAAAAGAGTGATTTGCTAAGATGAAGTTCATTAGGCAGTTCTTCTAACTTGTGAGGCATCAGAAACCATACACTTTGTGCGTTGGTTTACAGCTGTAAAACAGACATTAAATTACCAAATGAAGGCTTGGTGCCAGTTTCCAGTGAAGCCAGTGGCAGAACTCCATTTATTTTAGTGGTTCAGTGTGAATCATGTAATAATCACAACTATCCAGAAATTAAGAGATTCTGTCTTTGAGTCAAAACCTCAGGTTTGCAATGCAGAAAATAGAGATTACAAAAAAAAAACAAAAACAAAAACAAAACAACAACAACAACATCAAAAAAAAACCACACACACACACAAAAAACAAAAACAAAAAACCAACAACAAAAAGAAAAACCTTTAAATTTTCTTTTTCTTTTTTTTTTTTTTTAAATGACAATATCAAAAGATGTCATCTGTTTTTCAGTCATTTTTGTCCATTCTGTATCATTGTATTACAAACCAAAGTTTAACAACCCTGACCTGTCATGTCATAAGGAAAAAGGAGGCTGTAATGTCCAATGTTTCTGGTGGTTCCACTGATCTATAAAGTAGCATGGCTATGCAAGTGCCTTATATCCACTTACTGGGTTGGACGGAGAAGGTGCTCGTGAAGTTTTGATAGATAATGCCCTCCTTCTGATTCTGTTTAGAAGGTAGTGCTGAGCTCAGGTATCAAGAATAGACCATTTTTATTTTATCACAAAAAACCTGCCTGAGCTGGAAAGGAAGAATTTGGAGAAAAGTGCCCACCCTTTGCTAAAATTCTAATATTACTTTTGAACAAATTGGTGCTGTAAGTCTTGTATGCAAGAACAAAATTTTTAATATGCCTTCATATTAATGATGGAAGATTTCCAAACAGTTGAAGAGATTTCAGAATGTAAGTACCCAACCCTGTGAAAGAAAGATGGTTGAGTGGGGCCCCATCATACTTTTCTTATTTGTTTCCTGAAAGTGGGAGCAAATAAGAGAAAAATGTGGAAGTACTTATCCACCTTTTAAAAGATTTCTGCCCCTTTTATATTGGCTGAAGAAAAAGAAACTGGACTGGTGGCTTATAGACTGAAAGCATTCACTAAGTAAGCATGAGCCTCTGAGCAGGGAGCCCATAGTGGACTTAAAGCAAAAACCTATCCCTAATCCTGGAACCATCATGAAGCAGAGAATGTTAGTCATTTACAGCTGCCTGGCATTGTTGATGGGGTACAAATTGAAATCTCTGGTCTGCCAGGCTTGTCAACACCTTTGAAATCTGCTGCCCAGTCTGGATCCCCAAAGGACTGTGAGAGAGTGAAAGAGCCAAACCAACAGCCAAAGACAGAATCCACCTACTTGTCCCGTTTTCTTCCTTTGTCTTTGTTTCTTTTCCGCTTTTATAATTGCCTTTCTTTTTGCTTGTTCTTATCCCAACACTAATGTTGTAATATTGGTAAGTGGTTTAATTAGAAGATTTATTAACTTGTGTTTTCAATCTTTTACTGAGAAGAAGCACCAAAAACCTAACATCAAAATAAAAGCTATTACACAATCTGCTAGTTGGGTGCAGTCCGTCCCCTTTGAATTCTATGGCTAAATTCCCGTTGGCTTTCATGGGAGCCTATTAAGGAACAAGCTCTTGTTATTTTGTAATATGCATGCCACATGGGGTCTCAATTTAGTCACTTAACTAAAGGCACCTAAACAAGTGGCCTTTTTTTAGTGATGTGAATAACTCAAGTGGCTAAATGGGAATACATGTGCCTAATTTTAGTACATCCACAGTTGAGTATGGTAACCACAGTCTGGTTTCAAAACTTCATTTATACAGGTTGGCATTTATCAGTGACTGAGGATGGCTTGACAATCTGTATGTGCATCAAAAACACTTCTAATGAAAAATAAACTTCCCATAAATCTAAAATAAAAGCAAATATAAGGGAGAGAAGTAAATACGAAACATAAATCTGGGATTAGCTTGACAACAGTAATTATGATAGTAATTAATTGCCTCTTTTCAGTGTATTTCTAATATTGCAGATTATTAATGCTGTAAAAGTATAAAGTAATTTAAGCTGTCATCAAAACTTGGATAGTGTTTTCCTGGAGCAGCACACTGCAGAGGATTTGGTAAATATCCAAGAACTGGTAAATTTAGAGCACAAAATGTTTAATGCACTTGGTTATTAAACACCAAACTATAAACAAGTGCTTCAATATTTGGAAAATCATGACCTCCAATATAATATCATTTACAAAAATAGTTTCCAAGTCACAGTAATATAAACTAAGAATTTACAAAATCATTGTTTGTTCTTTTCATAAGGTGAATATTGAAATTTGTCTTGTCAATTTAAGGATTAGTCAGATTTATTTATTTATTTTTTTTTTTGTTACACCATTGCAAAGAATTGCTTCAAGTTCCACCAGTGAAGTTCTTTATTTTGAAATATATTCAGAAGGTATGGGTTATGTAAGACTAGATGTATAAGATTACTTGTGATTCTATGATTCAGTGATCTTAAGGCCTTTAATAATATCAACATATACATTCGCACAGAGGGTATACATACACCTTGCCATTGAGAACAAATATTTTATTCTTTCAGCAACCTTAACTCTAACTTAGGAGTTGTGTATAACTTCTACAAGTTCATCTTAGTTCTTCAGAAACCTCTCCTCCAGTGCTTAGACCTTTTTCTTTTAATTAGTTAATTGGTTAATTAATTAATTTATTTAAATCAGAAATCACATGCACTAGGTCAGATTGTGCTTTTCTACTTTGACAGCAATGAAGATTTCATGCACCAACTTTTGCAGGTTCTTTAGAGGATGTACCTACGCTCTGAAAACCTTTCTTACACTCTTCCTTGTTTTTAAGGCCATTTAACCCAGATTCCATGTGCCCAGTAAATCTGTCAGGAGAAGATTCCATCTTTTATGGTTTTATTGCAGCAGATCTCTGGTGTTCACAGAGGTTAGCTGTGTCACTTGTAGTAGCAAATCCTCTGCAACTAACATGATCTTTATTCATAGGGCCAAGTGGTTGGAAGCAGTCTGTTGACTATCTAATCCATGACTATTCATCTGGGAATCTCTTGGTTGTCATGATCACTGGGACATGACACTAACCCAGGGCCTTCCTCTCTAACACTGTGAACATCCCCAACCCTTCTGGCAACTATTTCCAGCAGCAGCTGTATGAAGTTGAGGTGTTAGGAGCACATTTCCTTCATTAGCCTAGAGCTCAAACACAAGATTTCAGTACCAGCAGAAGTTTCTTTATTTCTCTTCTTTGAATAAAAAGCTCGTTTTATGAGAGTCAATAAATGCAAATTACCATGGGTGGGCAGAAAGTTAGTTGGAAGCTTGAGAGCGAGCTCATTCTTCAATGCTTTTCTCAGCTGTTGCAGGATCATAGAATAGCTTGGGTTGGAAGGGACTTTAAAGATCACCTAATTCCACCCACCCTGTCATGGGAAGGGACACCTTCCATTAGATCAATCCCCATCCAGTCTGGCCTTAAACACCTCCAGGAATAGTTATCTTTTGATAGACTTCAGAGAGAGAGTTAGAGCACAAGATAAGAAGTCCTCAGTCTTCAGTGATGTCTGCCTAGTATTCATTCCTAGAATTGTGTGGAGAGTTTCAGGATGAATACTTCTACTTCTTCAAGACATAAGTGTTGGCTTGTACTCTTTCCATGGCTGTTTCTTTTCTCATCTTCTGGGGTCAAGGCAAACCCTGGATGTTACAGAAAAGGCTAGTTTACTTTTTTAGATTGGATTGATTGAGTTATTATTATTATTTTTTTAATCTGTTGAGCTATGGTTAGATGGTTAGGAAGAGTCTACTTACAAAATGTGCAGCATCCTCCATTTCCTGTGGATGCATTATTTCTGGATCCTGGTCCTCAATATTCTAAAAGCTTTAATCAAACTGTTTCCTTTTTTTTTTTTTTTTTTTTTTTAATGGAATTTTCTCCTCTGTAAGACTTGAAACTTGTGTTAAGAACCCTTCTCACATCCTTCCCATGAACCTGTAGCAACATGCTCACTGATATATTTGCCATATGTAAAAATGTTTATTGTTAGTATGCTTTCTCCTGGAGGATAGGAGGGTCTTCTCCTGTGTGTTGTATCCATTCCTTATGGGATGTTTCTTCTGAGACCCATCCTTATTACTGGCTTGGAATTCTATCTCAGAAATTTGAATTTTGTCTGCTTTTCATATGTGTTTTATACACACTGAATGCCTGTAAGGTTCTACCTTATTTCTGATTTCTGACAAGATCACAAATTCCTGGTGATCTCTGGTGATTTCAGCCACCAGCTGAAGGATGTGGGGATAATGTCATCTCTGCATGCAGACCGTTCATGTAGATAAGAGCTGGCATGGAGAATTTTGATACAACAGTCAAGGCTGCATCTGTGATTGGAGAACATGCCACTTCAGCTAAGTGCATGGTAATACTGAGAAATTTCATTTTTCCTATCATCTGCTGAGAATTTACCTGGAGCTCTCTGTTGTGTCCTCTGTGTGAATGTTGTGTCAATAGGTATTTGGGGGATCACTGTTAAATAGAAGAACAACTTATTTAAAATTTAGAAAGCTTTTTTCAGAATGTGAATATATATTCACATTCACCTTTTCTCCTGACAGTGGACATCAAGAAAGACAGAATCAGTTTGTCCTCTACAGAAAGGAACAAGAGAGAAACTATTTTAGAAGGAAGGCTTACATGGTCAAAAAACAGGTATTTCTCCTGCCTACTTCCATGGCATGAATGTATGTATGCATTAAATATATGATTATGTAAAAAATAAAATTTCCAGTAAGGAATTTCTCTTTCCAAAATCTGCACATGAAAAGCATGACTAGAACTGAGTATTAGCACATTGAATGGTCTATCATATTGTTCTTGGGAAAGCTTTAGCTGGGGATACTAAACCCTACTTTTTGCTTTGAAAATCTACCACATGAATAAATATCACCAGTCATCACTGTTTGTCATTAACAAGTAACCAATTGCAACTACTGTGATTTAGGGGAGTGTTTTTGTTGTTGTTGTTGTTTTTTTTCCTTTGAACATGTCTTTCATGCTAACATTTGCTTAATTAGTGGTAATAAGGCAGCTATGCTTACCACTGGGCTGAGAAAAATCTGGCACCTGCTCTATCTTCAATATACATATTCCATAAAGATCCTTATCTACTCAAGTGGTGACCAGGAGATCAGGATTTGACTCATAGTGTGAGGAGGTTATTGTGGCCTGCTCATGTTAATTGTTCTATTGCTGCCTTCTTCTACTGCTCTTGGGAGGCTTGCTTCACTTTACCCCAGTGGTGTGGTTGGCTCCCTTTTTGCAGTATGGATTAGAAAGATTTTTGTGATGCTTTTCTGTGCAAAGTTTGTGGGCTTAAGTTTAGGACTTGGAATGTCTCAGCTAAATTTAAAGTTACTGAGGACCTCTAAGGATCTGTCCCCCAATAAGAATAGGAAAAGGAAGACGTTGAATATGTTGGAGGGCTGAGTTACACAAAAGGTTACTAAACATTATTACTTATGCTTGATGACTTCCAACTGCCCTGCCACCCACCTTCTTGCCGAGCCAGAAGCAAATTTGAAAAAGAAACCGCTGTGCATCACTTCCCCAGCAGAACATGTTGCAGACAAAAGGAATCGAAACCACAAGTAGAGAATTGGATTTCCCCGTCTTTCTCCAAAATAAATATTTGTTTGTGAGAAAAGCAGCCGGAAGAATGAGACATGTACCCCTGACACTAAAGGCTTGTATGTTTGTGCCTGCTGCAAAAGAGGTATGCTAGTCCACTGAGTGCTACCTAAGGTCAAGCTGAGCTCTATCACCCCAACTTTTTAACTGATGTCTTCATGCATTTGCATAAAGCAGAGAGAGAATAAAGGTCCAGGGAGCCCAGCAAGGATCAGTAAGAAGTGAAATGCAAAATGAGCAGAGGGGCTACTCGTTGGAGTTGTGCCCTGTGCTGCTCCTTCCAGACAGCAGCATAATTTCTCTCAAAACCATTGTGGAGAAGGGGACAACATATCACACACCTCTGGCTGGCATCATGTGCTCTTTGAGTGCTGGAATGAATTCCAAAGGGATAACTTCAGCATAAAGATATCCATACCTAAAACTCAGGTGACCAGTCTCACAGCCAGTGTCTGGGTGAGGAGATAAGCACCTCCAGGAGGTGGTTTGCATAAAGGGCAGGGAAAGAATGGAAACTCTCATTGCTTCCTGGAAAGCAGGAACTGTCCATGTTGACTTTCTGGATGCTGGGCACTTTCAAAGGATTCAGAGTGAGCAAACATGGCAGGCAGGTGAGCACCCTCATCGTGAGGCTATGGTCGTGGCAGATATGCTTGCTATTTGAAAATCAGGTGTACCATCACTTGATTTTCGCTCTTTCTTCCATAATGTGTGTTAACCATATTCACTCGTCATGCAGGGGACAACAAAGAACAAGATAATCTGTGCTAGGCCATCAGGCATAGGATTTCTACTAAAGAGTCAACTTTTATAAGCTGTTACTGCATGAAATTATCTGGAGCACCACAATTATGGCCTTTCGCAAGCTTAGGGAAATGTTGTGGTGTCTCATATGGCATCATTTGGTAACACTTAACCAGCAAAGATTTTTAAGATCAGTGTGCACTCTAAATTCATAGCTTTTAGCTTCACTTTTTAAAACTTTTTTTCCACTGTTCCTGTCCTCATCTTCAGCTGTTACCTGGCACAAACTTGTGCAGAACAATCTCCCTTGTTATCAGAAAGCCAGAAAAATCCTTTCAGATTAGGAGACAGAAGGTGATTTAGACGGAGAGGCTCTTGCCTGTGCCTTCACAAAAGCCATATTTTTATTATGCCCTTATATAACCTGTCCCCTGTTTCAAATACAGCTTGAAAAAAAAAAAAAAAACCTCCTTCATACAAGAACATGACCAGCTGAGTAAATAGAAAAAAACTGTTGAACTTGTGGATAGTACTCACTGAGGCCCTAATTATTTTGATACATGTGCCTGCATAGCAATACATTTTGGATAGGAATAGTGAGATTGAGATACATAAAAACAGTTGGTAAAAGCTGGAAGTTAACCTGAAAACATATTCCTAGTAACACAGCTAAAGGGGAGGCAGACAAGCTCAAAGGTAAATTCAGGTCAGTTTGTGCCTTCAGAAACAGAGGACTTCTAAAACAAGGTCATAAGCAAAGACGGAACAAGTCACAGAAACACCAAATTTGCCACAGCATCATGAGAGGAGAACAGTGGGGAAAAAAATGACAAAAAGAAACCAGCAGTAAAATGAATATATTCATGCAGCGTCAGTCTCTCCAGACAAGAAATAGTGCCAACCAGAACCGCATCAGCGTGTGGCTGTTTCTTGCACTGACACTAAAAACATCTGTTGAGGTACAGTGTTTATACCATCTGCCAAATAAGCATTTTTTAATTTTAAAACATATGCTAGAAATAGGAAAATTTGGACAACAACAAAAAGAAAAAAAAGAGGGGTGGGTGGCCAATAAACTAAGAGTGAGAAATGGGGAAGGATGGATTGGAGGGAATGTTTTCCACACAGTGCATCATAGCTAATTTGGGTCATCTCAGGTCACCAGGGGAAAGGAAAGTCATGGAGGAAATCACAAATAGCTCTGAGAAGATAAAAGAAACCAAAGGATGCTGTCCATATCAGAGATTCCGTCATTTAACACTGGGTTTTGCAAAGTTAATCATAAAAGTCGTGATTCAGCAAGAGTTTGGGGATACAGCTAATTTAAGACATGGGAACTGCTGCTGATTCTGATGGAAATACTCCTATTGTTGCGGGCAGGCATAACTTGCTTTTTTACAGGAAAGCATATAGTTAAACACCTAGGTGAGCCAGGGGTTAATACTTATTCTGCAAATTCAAACAATTTTTTTGGTACATACAAGTTATGTAAAGTTATGTAAATCCTCATATAAGGAATTTGTTAACTTTTTTTTTTTTTTTTTTTTTTTGGAAATCAAATGTGTTCAAGAACATTATTGGGTGAAGTTACCTAAGTGACTGTGATTCTGTGATTCTGAATATCGTAAAAATGTATAAATGAAAGATTTGGGCTTACGTTACTGATTCTTTGATGTCAAGAGAGTCTCTCATTCAAATCAGCATCTCTTTGCTACCATCTCAGGTCTACAATATGTGTAGTATTTGGTGCATAAGGAGTTTCTAAAAAGAGTAACAGACATCAAACCTACTGTAATGTAATATGTCTATTCAATTCCATATTAATTGTGTTTTTAGAAAAAAAAAAAAGTGCCCCTGGAAATCAAAGAAAAAACTTGTACTCCCTTCATCAGAGTCGGGATTTTACCTCTATAATACTTGACTTCCAAGTACAAATGATTAATGCCTTGTAAATCACTTGCTGGGATATGGTCAATTGCAGATATTTTATCAAAGTCTGCATCACATTAAATGTGTTGTATATCCTTCAAGATTTACTTCAGTTTATTTCTGTTTTGTTTATTACAGACTGAGTTTTTGAAAATCACAGTAGAAATAAGCAAAAAGATGGATTATACTTGCTATAGCTTACTGGAGTTTTTGTTACTTCTGTTGTGTCCAATGGAGCAACTTTACACATTGGATTCTGGCAAACTACCCCATCTGGAGACAAGTTATTCTTGATATATATAAACATGTTAAACAATATGAAACCTAAATTCTGGAATAAGGTGATGTTTCCCAAAGGCAGCAATCAGAACTTCATAATTTTCTGTCTCCTGTGATGTTTAATGAAAGTGATGGATTATTGTAGATTAGGTAAATATGTAGCTGAGGTTTATTGGACATTTAAGTTCTTGTAAAACAAACAAACAAACAAACAAAAAAACAAAACACCCCACAACACAATGCACCAACCAACCAACCAACAAACAAAAAACAAACACAGAGAATGTACGTGCCCACATAACAGTTTTTCCAAATGTTTTTGTTTCGTCCTGGATCCTAAGAAAACATTCAAAAAGCAAAAGCCAATCATCAAAATTTATGATGATCATCAAAAAGCACGATGATTGTCAAAAAGCAAAAGCCAATCTAAATCTTTGATATAGGTCCTTTTGTCTGCAATACACCACAGCTGGAAGAGATGGAATTAACACTTGCATCAGGGAAAAGTCTTATTGGATCTTTTAAAATGCTGGCAAAATAAATGCCATTAATTCTACATTGCTGGCAGACAACAAAATTTTAAATTATCACCAAAATATATATATATATATATATCTTGGCTGAATTTTCAAATCAGATAATCTCTGCTCAAGTTCAAGATACTTACTTCAAAATGCAGCTTTTTCATTAATACCCATTGGAGATTCTCCATTGATCTGCAAGACAGGCAATGTAGATTGTGTAGAAACAAATCTTATGATATCTTTCTCCCAATGAATGTCAAGCTTCATATGACACCTAAGTTTTGGATGAATCTTTGGTGATTTTAAACAAGATCTCACTTTCTGGACTGTGAAATAATATTTTCAGATTGATTCCACTTTAATTTGATTTTTTTTTTTTCAAAAAAACCCCTGACAAACCTTCCTTACGGATGACAAACCATCCTCAACAGATGTTGTCTCTTTCAGTGAGAATCTACACACTATTCATAGCAATATGGAAACACAAGCTGTAAGAGAAATTCTGGTGAGTAATAATCCATTTGTTCACCTGCATGTTCAGAACAACTTCACTCACAATGAATAAAAAAAGATATTTATTAACTTGATAGTGTGATTAGGAACTTCACCCACTGTTACTTCTCTGGATTTAGTTGACTGTAATCCATGACTGATTTAGGTCTTTTATCCTTTAAAGAAATATTAAAAAACTGGTAGCATTTAGTGTTTTTAAAATCTTTAGACAACATGAAGAAAAACAGTTTAAGTTTTCACAAAACTGTTGAGTTTTGCAAAACATTTTTCCCCTTAATTTGAACCATCACTTTCTCAAAGAAAACTAAATTAAAAAAACAACAAACATGTTTTTGCAATTAAACAGAATACTGAACTATGCAAACAATAAAGATCCTTGTTTGAAATTAATTCTCGTTCTGCTTCTGGGATTACCAGGGGAATAAAATTATAGCAAAACAAAACAAAAAAACCTGCTACAGCCTAGAATTTGTATTTTACCAGAAGCAAAACAAAATTTAGGCTCAATAGTTTTGAGTTCTATTCTGTCTCCAAAAAACATGATTATAGAGTTTGTTCTAAATTTGACAAAATGAAATATCTCATCAGTCCTGTCATCAGAAGCCAAAGTGGTACCTCAGACTTTTTTTCTTTATGGCTCAATACTTTACATTTTCATTCTCTGTACCTGAGGGACATTTAGAGTTGGTTATCAGGAATGTGACGACAATAATGACAGACCATTTGGGTCAATGTTCATTGGTTAAAATTCAGAGGAAAAGATCAAAAAACCTAGGACAGACAGACTGCTTGGAGGTGGGAAGGTCTCATAGAAGGTGATGAATGCTTTTAGGATGATTGTCTGCACCTTTTAGATTTATTTGAACATTAAAACAAAACAAAACAAAACAGAAAAATGAATTTTAGCAACATCAAGCCTGAAGACCCTTAAAAGAAACTGTTTCTAAAGAGTTTGAGGAAACACTACTTGTCCATTTGAACACTGAAACACTCATATTGGCTTTAGAAATTTAAGTTTCTGAGGATATCACAGTAGTAAGTGTATCACTTTTGGGGTCTCAGTCTTCTGAGTATTCCTGCCTGCTTGTGCCTGCTGGCTTTAGCTACCCATCAGTCCCTTGCTCAGTTGAATTCTTACCATCTGTTTTGTGTTGAGCCACTTGAATAAACTATTGCTCCCCTTATTCTTTGTGTACAGAGCTGTCTTTTGGAACACAATGTTTAGTCAAGCTCCTTGGCCCACAAAATTTCTTCTGCTTATCCTGTTCTCCTGCCCCAAGTGCCCCAGTTGTTCTTGGGTTCTCAAGAGTCCAAAGTCAACATTGTAGAGGCACGGGCATGCTGAGTTTGTGGTTGAGGGCACATCCAAATATTGCTACATCCCAGATTTGGTTCAAATACTTAGCGTAGCCCATTTATTCTAATTAAATAAATGACATTTCTGCATAGGAGACAAGAATGGGCAGAGAAAAGGAGCAAGGATCAACTGCTGAAGTCTTCCCTGTGTTCAAAAAAAAAACCACACAGCATTCCTGTAACATTACACTGACTCTATCACCAGGAACCCAGAGGCCCAGTTTCAAGTTTTTGCACAGTTCTCCAGGAGTCCCAAGCCACAGAGCTATGCCCATGGCTTAACTTTGCCAGCATTAAGCAGATTTTCCGGGGAAATTTTTTCAAGTGCTTCCTTTATTTATTTATTTATTTTAAAAACTTGTTTTCTTCAAGTTGAACAGTCCTATGTCTCCCTGAGGGCCAGAGACTAACACGTGGAATAGTTATCAATGAATTGTTTTCATCCTAAGAGCTAATGGCCATGTTAAAATTTCTTCAGTGTTTTCATTCTCTATATGTGACTTTTAAAAATATCACTTTATTTGCTCTCTTACCTATTAGCTAAATATGTTGTTGAGCATTAAAACATGGTTTATGTAGATATACAATACACATAAAAATGCTTTAAGAATTTGACCTAAAACATGAGAATTATGAATTTACGCATTTCCTATGAGGATTTCTTATAAAAAAAACACACTGTTTTTCAAAACTTTAATTGACCTTTTAACTTTTCTAATAGTTTGTTCCAGCTTCCATTTCTTCAGGCTTGGATTCAGTGGTATAAAGCCTCAGTAAGCAAGTACATCTATTCTGTATCCTTTTAAGATATACTACTTTGCTGTATCGTTCACTACATAATGAAATAAATGCAGGGAAACTTCACAGAGTGCATACTGCCAATTTATCCTAGAATGTCTCAGCTTGTACTGGCGCATGGCCTGACCACCACAGCACCACGGTGTGCTCCCAACTCCTGCACTGCTCTAGTGCTGACTTGCTGTGTGGCCATATGCAAATAAACCAACTGTCCCTCAGCCTGGTGTTCTGTCCTTGTAAAGATGGCAGTGCTCATCTCTAGAAGAAGGAGACCTTCTCCAATTGAATCCAATCACAGCAAGCTACCGAAGCTTTGATCTCTCAGCTGGGTATGAGACAGGGTGCTGCCAGCCCAACTGTGGTGTCCATGCGAGTAGGGTCCAAGGCAGGATGGGTACCACAAGATTTACTCTGTGGGAAAATTCCAGCTGAAGCCAGGACTGGGTTCCCTGACTTCATCAGGCTGTTTCTGAGTGCTTCATAAGCTAAACTGGCACCAGTAAAATCACTTTTCATAGCACTGCGAATATATAACAAGGTCTAAAAATGCAACAGAGAAGTTCACTCTGTGATTACTGTTAATTATTTACCCAGCACAAAGAAGTAGTTTCCACAGATGCCAGTATTCAATGCTACCTTGAAATAGATAAGTATATCCATATTAATTGTATGTGTCACAACATTAAAAATACTAGGATCCCATACTTAATACAAGCTCTTTTATTGACTTTGCAAAACGTAAGCATTCCTTTGTCTCATGTTGTATACAACTTGAACATACATTTAGTAATACATCATTTGTCTTATACATCTAAGAGAGAGCAAATAGAGAATAGAAATAATAACATCAATTTGACTGAGAATATTTCAACAGGAACATCATTTTTGAAGACAATTATGAGTCTTAGATGATTTGTGACTGGATTTTCTCAAAAAATTTTTTTAAAGTTAACAAGAATTTTGCCCATATACTTAAAATTGAAGGCATCATTATTGTTAATTAAAAAATATTTTTAGTTTTTCATTTTCCTTTTTCCCTTTCCTTTTCTTTTTTTCCTTTTTCATTTTTTTTTCATTTTTTTTCATTCTTTCTCTTTCTCTTTCTCTTTCTCTTCTCTTTCTCTTCTCTTTCTCTTTCTCTTTCTCTTTCTCTTCTCTTCTTCTTTCTCTTTCTCTTTCTCTTTCTCTTTCTCTTTCTCTTCTCTTTCTCTTTCTCTTTCTCTTTCTCTTTCTCTTTCTCTTTCTCTTTCTCTTTCCCTTTCCCTTTCCCTTTCCCTTTCCCTTTCCCTTTCCCTTTCCCTTTCCCTTTCCCTTTCCCTTTCCCTTTCCCTTTCCCTTTCCCCCTTTCATTGCTCTTCCTCTTCCTTTTCCCCTTTTCCTTATTTTCCTTATTTTTTTTTGCTTATATTCCTTATTTTCCTTATTAATTTCCCCTTCCCCTTCCCCTTCCCCTTCCCCTTCCCCTTCCCCTTCCCCTTCCCCTTCCCCTTCCCCTTCCCCTTCCCCTTCCCCTTCCCCTTCCCCTACCCCTTCCCCTTCCTCTTAACATTGTTTCCCATACCATCCTCCTAGAGAAACTGGCTGCTCACGTCTTGGACAGGTGCACACTTTGTTGAATTAAAAACTTGCTGGGTGTCCGGGCCCAAAGGTCATGGTGAATGGAATTCATTTGGAACCTAATGTTCTCTTCAATATCTTTATCAATGATCTGGACAAAGAGATAGAGTACATCTTCAGTAAGTCTGCAGATGACACCAATGTAGGAAGTGGCGATCTGCTTGAGGGTGGGAAGGCTTTACAGAGAGATCTGGATAGGCTGGACTGATGGGCCAAGGTCAACTGTATGAGGTTCAACGAGGTTGTTTGTTGGGAACTGCACTTGGGGCACAACAACTCCATGCAACGGTAAAAGCTAGGGGAAGAGTGGATGGAAAGCTGCCCAAGGGAAAGGCACCTGGGGATATTTGATAGTAGGATGATTATGAGCTAGCAGTTGCTCTGGCAGCCAAGAAGGCCAAAAGCATCCTGGCTTTTATCAGAAATAGCATGGCCAGCAGGACTAATTAAGTGATTGTCCCCCTGTACTTGGCTCTGGTGAGGCTACACTTCAAATAATGCTTTCAGTTTTGGGCCACTCACTGCAAGGAGGACATCAAGGTTCTGGAGCATGTCCAAAGAAGGGCAATAAAGCTGGTGAAGGGTCTAGAGAACAAAGTCTTATGAGGAGTGGCTGAAGGAGGTAGGCTTGTTTAGCCTGGAGAAGGGGAGGCTCATGAGAGACCTTAGCACTCTGTACACCTAACTTAAAGGACCCTAGTGAGGTGAGAATTGATGTCTTCTCCCAAGCAGCAAGTGATAAGACAAGAGGAAATAGCCTTACATTGTGCCAGGGGAGGTTTAGGTTGGATATTAGGTAAAAGCCTTCACTGAAAAGGATATGAAGTATTGGACCAGGCTGCACAGGGAAGCAGTTGTGTCACCATTGCTGGAGGTCTTCAAAAAACCTGTAGATGTGGTGTTTGGCTTAGTGGTGGACTTGGCAGTGCTAGTTTAAAGGTTGGACTAGATGATCTTAGAGGTCTTTCCAACCTAAATGATTCTGTGATTCTATGATCCTTTTCCTTTTTCTTTATCCTCCAGGAAACATTATTTTGCAAGCAGAAAACAAAAAGCAAAATCTTAAATCTGTTGTTTACTTGTTCATTAAAAAAAAGATAAATGAATAATGTTTTTACCTTTTGCTTTTTCCACTTGAAGGAAAAATAATGTTGCTGCTGAGCATCTGTTACAATAGGTTTTATATTTTCAAGATTTAATTTGTAGGGATGAGTTAATGTTTCCAGGGAGTGGCATCTCAATACCAGTTGTCTTTCTCCTATAAATATGAGCTCAGATTGTTGAAAATGAAGTTTGAATACTAAGGCAGTTAATTAGTTTGGCTCCCAAAGGCACCAAATAATAGCTCCTTCAAAACAATCTCCTTTAAGTGGATGAGATTCTTGGAAATACTCTGACATACATCATAATAGCTCATTGCAAACATAGATCTGGAGACTTGTCCTTGCCAATAACTGAAGATGCTAGAACACAGTAAATTACTTTGTGTACATACCCTTGCTGGTTCCTGGAAAGATGATTTCTTCTTTTAAGAATATTGATATTCATCATTGATAGCTGTAGAAGATAAGTGTGGATATTCTATTTCTGGAATGCATTTAACCTGGTATGAAACCAAACCAGGATGATAATTTAAATTTGAATTTATCACTACAAAAATCTCACATAATATCATCATTTTAGACTTTAAAGAGAAGTAAGAGCACACTTTCTCAGTGAGCAGGTGTAAGCAATTGCCTTTTAGGCAATGGTCTTTGTGTGTTTGTGTGTCGTGCTTTTATAGTATTGTAGAAGGAGCCTTTGCTTAGAGGATCTTGCTTGAAAGTCGATGATAAAGATGACTAGTGTCTGAGTGTGTTGCCTAAATTAAATCTTAACTGATGCTTTACTATGCCAGAGTAAAGGGAGTTCAGTATCTCTAAGGGGCAGGGAATCAGAAAAGGGAATTGGAGAGACCTGAGGTACAGCCAAGTTCTAGAGAAAACATGCATTATTATGGTTCATTGTAATTTAAGTTAATAGAAGCCAGAGAGAGAGAGAGGTATATTTGGTATCACATCCAGGGCATTTGTCCTTTTTGGAGCAGGATGAGAACTTATGTACTAGTATGGTCCTGTTCTCATAATTATTAACTCAAATAGCTATAGCATTAATACTGAAATATCTGAAAAAATAACTGCATGTATGTGTTCTATGGAGGGCTGTCAAATATCAGTACCGTCTGTTAAAAGTATTAAGTATCATCACAGATTATTCTATTTTTTAACATGGGACTTGGGAAAATTCAAAGAGAAATCTTACATTTTGTGTGAGAAGGACACACACAAAGTACTAGACTATTTTTTTTATTATTATTTTTTGGCACTTCTGCAACTTTAAAATGTCTAAATGATTTTTTTTTTTTTTGGAATGTTTTTATGAAAAAATAAAATGTGTACTCTAAAATGTCAGGGAATGTGTAAGCCAATTTGTAAAGTCACATGGGTTTCATTTTGCCCTCAAATACAGTCTTCAATTCCTTTGTGTTTAGGAGAAGAATTGGACCCATCTGTTTTTAGTAGTAGAAGGAAGACAAATGGTGCAGTTTTTCAACAACTGAAAACCATCTTGAGATACACAGATCAATTTAGACTAAAACTAAAACTAAAACAACAGCAATATCAACAACACCACCACAGTCTTCAAGCCCTTTGACTAGTACTTATCTGACCAATAATGGCCAAAAGCCATTTATCTTTGCTTAAACTACATGATGATAAAACCAGAGTCTGGAAAATATCATTACTTGATCTATTTGGTAAACTTTCAAATATTTCTTTTAGAAGATTTGCCAGGCAAACAGCATAGTATAAAATTTAGTTTCATTTAATTTGCTTTTTATTGCTTTAGAATTTTACTTTCAAAAAAAAAAAAAAAAAAAGACATGATTAAAGAACTACAGCTACAACTGAGCAAAGGTACAAAGCTTCTGTAGTAGAAAGTTGAGGGAGTGTGAGTCTGTAGAACATGGATTTGTAGGTGCATTTTAGTACAGAAAATTGTGCTGCAAAGGTGTTTAGTGGGTTTAAACCTGTGTCTGAAACAAGCTGTGCAGTGTGAATGCAATATCTGAGCTTTTTCTTAGGGCTACTGTTGGTACATCCAGAATACTGGTACAGCCAGAATATAAGTACATCCAGCTAGGGACACCATCGAGTCCTTATTTCAAAGGGAAATCCATTTGTTCATTAGTTGCCAGAAAAAAAAGAATCAACAAACTGACAACTAACAAACCAATGCTTTGCAGAGACACTGAATAACAACAATTTTGACTGAGCTTTTTTTTCATGGTAAAGTACAACCCGAAGAAATATAATCTTAAAGTAAAACCTAACCACAGGGCTCATCATCTTCCTTCAAAAAATAGCATCTTCTTTTGGATTGTCTTAAGATTTCACTAACTTGCAAACCTGAAACCAGCTTTCTGTGCTGCTGATGTGGCTAAAGAAGACAAGTTTCCCAGCTGAGTGGGAGGAACTGTAAAGAGGTTTTCTCTGGTCTCATGAAATTATTTTGTATGGACCAGGAAAGAGCACAAGAACTGTCACAAGATTTACTGTAGCTAAATTTATTTATTTCTTTATTTTTCAATTACCATCATAAAATTATAATAGGAATTCCAGTGTAGCTGCTAAGAAAAAAGAGTGGTTTTTTTTAGTGAGGAAATGTAGATGTAAAGAAAACTATATGATGGCTATTAAAGCAACAAAATGTACATATTACTATTTTATAATGGCAGCAACTTAAAACCATTCTGCTTTCTGAAGTTTTCAAAGTGAAATAATTAATTTCAATAACAGAAAAGCTGCACATAATCAACAATGTAATAACTTCTTTCAAATGTAAGGAAAAGATTAAGTGAAAAATTAATGTTTTCCTCTGTGCTCACTAATGCCTCAACCCACATAAATATAAAAATATGCCAACAATTGTTTGTTATTACACAGTTGAAAGAAGAAGAATAATTTGTCTGAATAATAAGTTTCAAGATAGGAATGAAACTGCAGAAGAAATATGATAACACAAGTAGTATGCTGCAATCATTTACATAAAAGTAGAGCAATAGACTTGTATATGATAAAGTGTAAGATCATGCAACTACTGAAGGTTAAGTTAAATACAAATTCTTTGTTCATAAATATAAATGTAAAGTACAGAAGCATCTTGGTAAACTAGAAGAGGATTTTATTCAGTAGCATCTCCAAGCTCACAAGAATCTGACTTTGTGTTTGTCTTGTCACTGTCTCTGAAGGGAAAAAAAAAAAAGACCTTTCTGGAAATCATAAATATTACTGAGAGACACATAGAAAAACATAGAAAAATTAGGTAGCATGTTCAGGTGCTTCTTGAATATTAT